TCATGGTATGACAAAAATCAGTGTAGAGTAGTCAAATGATGACGTTTAAACTTAAGTAATCGCCTACACATATGCGTTAATTTAAATATCTAAAACAAAGTCTTCTTTGATAGATATACATTTACGCATTCCGTAGATGTGTAAATACAGTTGTTACTTGTAAGGGAAATAATAGGAAACTATTTTGAAACATAAGAATAAAGAAAATATATATCGTTTCATAATTAATTGTGGTTGCCGCAAAGGTGATGAAAGCGCAGTAAACAGCTTGCGAAAATATCTAACGACCGCTTACTGCATACATCTCGTTCATCTCCTGTCATTTCCAAAGGAAAGCTACTTTCATATGTTACTGTATAAAGTACGCAAGTAATCGAAGAGTATTCATACGAGTACTTAGACTCGTAACTACCTAAGTATTAATTTATATCCAGGATACAAAGAAAAGAACTTTAAATAGTCAAAACCAGCCTGATAGGCAAAATTATATTACTACGAATTGTTTAACATCTATACATATATGTATAACATAGGTAATAATATAAAAAATACCCCTTCCTTTTGTAAGCAAAAGTGTGATCAACCACTTGCCTCTAAAAAACAATCTTATGATATATAACTGCAATATTTACTTACATTTAAATAAAACACTTAACTATTTAAAACGCTGTTTATTTTAAATTCATACTACTCGCGTAAACTACAGAGGATAATTGTTTAAAAACTGTGTGTATCCTCAATCTTTAGTATCCCCGTGACCACGGCTGTTGCAAAGCATCCGAAACGCCAGGCCGTAGGTAAAATAATTTTCAAGTAAGTTTAACTAATATAAATCGCGTTTTAACCGTTAGTGTTTTATTTAAATGAATACTTGGTTACCCACAGTTTAGTATCGACAATGAGATGGAGGAAGTATCTTCGCTTCTGTTTAATAGTCCTATGTTTTATAATTAAAGGCTAATTGTCTTAAGAAGATTACGATTATAATTCGAATCTACGATGATAATAGCTGTGCCTAATCACTTTATCTGTATCATCGACATTGGTCGAATCACAAAAATGTGTCGCCGTCGAACAAGACAATGACCCGGCGAGTTCTATTAGCAGAACCTTGACGAATTTTCCTCTCTTTATTAACGTGGTAATTTCACTAAGGTTTATTGCGATCGTAGTTTGCTTTGGTTCATCGCTACCGGTATTTCAGGATATTCGTCGAACATGACTTAAATGATAACACTTGTAAATCGTAATATTTCTACTGCTGTACTCACTTTGTATGAAATATATTAGCTAGTTTGTTTCTGTCTCTTTCTATAAAAATAAGAGTGATCGTGGTCAAGTCATGAACTGATAGTTTAATTTTAATAACATTAGATACAAGTAAAACATAGATGTTACATTAATCTACATAACATGCTTAAAAACTGAAAAAATAATAATTTGTAAATAAAAGTAATATGTCCAATTAATGATTTACCTGAGTCCTGAAAGTAACACGAATAATTTCTTTATTAACTACTAAACTGTAGCACGCGTTTTCCTCGTTTTAGTGCTTATTAATTGGTAATTAGTGCAGCTAATAAAAGGTAATAATACTAACCATCCGTCATGACGTCATCATAACATGTTCGTAATGATCACGAGTTCTATTTCCGTTGAAATCTGAATATTGCGCTTAATATCGGAGCAGAACTGCGGCCGAAGTCGCATCACGTCGACGGAAGAGATTTCAATGTCATTGCTCTGCGCGCGCGCAGCATTGTGATCAAGAAGCGTGTTCCCTCGTTACTTTCGTTTCAACCATTGTATGGACACTTTATTCATCTAATATAATCAAATATACGTAATAATTTCTGGAACCATGTATGTTTGCTTAGACTGTGTGACGACTACACGGTTCCATCGATTTTGTAAATTTCGATAGACAAAATTTTAATTTTTCACACGAATAATTTTAAATAACTACCTACGTATTGAACTAAAACTGTGATAATTAAAAAAAAATTTAATGTTAAAGATTTCTGATAAAAACATAATTAAGTGCGACACATATATATGTGACATATTTTAATAGACAAAGAAATTATTCGTTATACGATTACGAAAATTCTTTGAATTTTCCTATATTTTCCTGAAGATAAATATGTAAAATTTTTGCAATTACATTGAAATTATTATAAATAAATATACTTTATCACATATCAATATTTGAAATCGGTGCCGACTAACCACCTATGTAGCTGCGCTAGGATGAAATTGTATGTCAAGGTAAGCTAGAGTATAGAAACACTAGATATCGTAAACAAAAATTGCGTGTATGAGAATTTTGTGTATGTTGATTGTGATGCTAAAACACTCTTTGACTGTATATCTACCTGAAAATAAAACCGGGAACGACTGTCCCGAGTTTTGGAAAGTGAGGGATACAAGTTGACTTTTTCATCCATACCTAATCTAAAAATGCTAAAACAAGAGAACAGTGACCGAAAATCGTTAACATAATTTTTACACAAATACTTAATAGTTAAAATTATTTTTTTCCTACGTTCATTGCGTATTTTTATTTTCCTCCTTATTGAAAATCATGTTTTTGTTATTACGCCACTCTGTCTCCAGTAGCCTCATATATACGAGCCCTAGTACTAGCGACTTCGTCTACAAGGCGGAGACTGTTCAGATGAACTACGAAACTTTATAGCCCCATTTGATTTCCGAATGTAAAAATATTTATTTATATTATCTATTTTCCGATAAATAGCTGGACTCTATTCATTGTTCTTGGAACTCGTACTTCTCGCTTCGCCTATTGCTTTTTGGATCTGCCGGCTCCATACGAATTTTAGGTTCGAAGATATACGTCCTTATGTTTTCCTTCAAAGAGCACGTGTCGGAATGTACAAAATATATTGTCCATGACTGAGAATTGAACTTAACATGAGTGTGTGCACACAGCACACGATATAACTAAAACAACATTTTTCTTGATATAAATACTTTTCGCAAACAAAGTTTTGCGCCGCCAAAACACAAAGTTTTGTACGTATCCAGGTTAAAGTTTCTTTGAATTCCCTTGTTTTACCTTTGTAGTCCCTAAAAACTCGGGATAATAAGGGAGCATAACTAATCACACTAAAAATTAAGTGCGGTGCGTTTATTGAAAAACTGTCTTTCAAACAAAGCTCTTCCAAGAAGCAGGTGGTTGACATGTTCTTATCGCCCCATTCATGTGAAACAATGGAGCTATCTAGGTACGCATTAATGACTCATTGTATACAAATATACCTGTAGAAATGTTTAGAAAGCTTGCAAGAGGCTTAAGTTTACGATTTGGACTGTTTTGTCATACATGTAAAGGGGATCATTGGTCTATGTAATAATAATAAATCATTTTCCTAAAACTGAAATGGGTGTTAGGAAAAACGAATTTCCATCCGGGTCACGAAAACGTCGCCCACAGATAAAATAGCCGTGAAGTTCCCTCGCGTATTGGTTTGGGAAGTAAGTCGACAGCATATCTTGTTTAGAGGTTATATGGCTATATAATATATAGAGGCTATGATGGTAATTCACCTATCAGCGCGTGCACGCATGCTTGTCTGCCCTCCTCTGTCATGTAAATGTACAGGTACCTAAGTGTAAGCCAACAGCATATCAATTTATACCAGTATATACATGAGTAGAACGTCGCATCTTTTTTGTGGGGTATTAGGCGTAATACAAATATATTAACAAATACAATTATTTTTCATAGACAAAAACAAATATTAATAAATATGGTATTCGTGTAAATCAAAAGAGTGTGCGATGTTATTAGTTTGAGTGGATCATGCTGTTAATAAAACCCTAAAAGAAGACTAAGGATTCTAGACAAAAAAATTAAAACATATACGCTTACTGTACTTATGTTAGATTACGCGTTATTATTATTACCATGTACTAATTGTGAAGCAATTAATAATTTATTTGTATCGAGATCAATTTCAACGTAATTCAATCGTGATCGAATTCAGATCAGAATGTTCGCATTCCGTAGCCCTGACATATTGCGAACAAACGATCCTTTGCATAATGAGAATTCTCGGGATTAGCACAATGCTAAATTAGTACAGAGTTCTATCAACAAGGGCTTAATAACGCACTGAAGATGATTCATTAATAAGCAACTCTGTCAGAAGAAAATCTACCCGGTATAGTATGTTTGAGAATTAGTCACGAAAAAGTGAGAAATAGTTTATCATATTTCAACGAGTGAAATACAATATCTTACGTTATCTGGAGGTTACACACGTGCTTTGGTTTTTTAAAGACACAATTAGGTAACATTATTGTTGCACGGCGATTGTATATTAGCCGTTTTTGTGACTTCGTCCGCATAGAATAGTTATTTTTCACCCCGACTTTATAAATTTTAGCTGTTACCCAGGGTGCGCTCCTCTTAAAAATACACACAAAGTGCGAGTTACTCTTAAAAAATACAACAAATGCGAGTTACTCTTAAAAATACACACAAAGTGCGAGTTACTCTTATTTTTAAAAAATACACACAAAGTGTCGCTTTATAGGTAGAAAAATAAAATTTCTTTTGCATTCTGTGTAATCTTTTCAATGCCTTTTATATAAGAATAGATATTCTATTCTATATTTTAAGTACTGTAAGTTACCATTCTATATTAGACAAAGTATAGTTGTGTGTAATGAAACACTCTGTATACCAAGATTAAGCATTAATCAGACACGATAAGGTCAAACCGTTTGTCATTAACGTTTAATCAAAAGCTTAGTGGTTAAGCAGACAGTGGTCAGTTCGCTTGTATTCGTTATGGTCAGATAAAGTTAATAGTAAGAATATTTTTTTTATCAAATAAAATGTACGTACAAAAAACTTAAACACGGCGTTGTTTCTTTCTGAAACTGAAATTCAAAATTATTCTTTTGTTTTACGCCCTGTCGATATATTTACTTTTGTTATATATATGCATGTTATATTTTATTGTTCACAGATGTATTTAAAGATCTTATGTGTGTCCGTGTGCGTGACAATTGCGCATACGCTGCGAGTTGGTGTGGGTATAGCTGACGTCACAGGGCCGCCTGCTGAAATTGGTTTTGTATGCATTCTATAATATATAAGATAATAGGGAACAATGGGACTGGCAAATTATTGATGCCCCGGGTCTGTAGCTGTCTTTTGTGGGAAAGAGACAATGCCTTTTTTAATTGTTTCTATGGATATACGGTGTTTACCCTAGCCTATGTTTGATAATTTACATAATATCATTTGTTGTGAGACACAAACGGTGAGGTATGTTTTGCTGCTTATACAGAACTTCAAATCTATAAAGTTGAAGTGTTTGTTTGTTTGAACGCGCCGATCTCAAGAACTGCTGGTGCGATAATTATGTTTTGTTTTGGTTAGAAAATTCATCGAGGAAGGCTATAGAGTATAGACTATAATGCATCGAGCTGCGGCTAATAGGAGCGTAGAAGCAGCGGGAAATGTGAAAAAGGGGAAAAAATATGTAGGAAATAATAAGTATTATACGATAGGTCGCTAACACAGCTAATGGTCAATATTTCGTGACTCGTTCTCAAATGCAATTAGTATCAAATTTATCCTTTAACTAGATAACTTGTTTAATTTATACAATTTGCGGTTTATGTTATAAAACTCTTACTTTCTTATATATTTAGAAACTGTTCAGTTAATATTTTCTTTCCCACAGATGGGCTACGCGAACTTTGAACAAAAAGGTCATGGCATACACTTACGACAGTTCTCCCGAGCGTTCGTGTTTGACGATTCAACGAACAACGCTCGCTTCGTGTTCGTCTCTGTGGACGCAGCTATGATGGGAAATGGAGTTAGACGAGAGGTAAGCTGACTAGAGAGTACACCTCCTTTTTATCAATAGGTCTCGCTAGTGATCTTAATGGAGAGACTATTATAACACCACGCTACTATTATCAATAATTGATGAGAACTAAGCACGTATAATTTGGCTGAAGAATCGGGATATTATTTGTTTAAATTATTTAATCTTATAAGGTATTTTTGTCATGCATGAATTATAGGCCTTCAACAAGTATTACCTAGTTCTTGTCGCTGTCCTTTGATGAGAGCTGGTGGTTAATGTAAATTTACAGTCTTTTGTTTGTAATTGTATTGTCGTTCATAAGAGTACATAGTTAACTTCAAGAATATATTATTTTTAACGTTAAAATTAGAAACAGTACCTACGGCCGATATGTTAAAATTTAAAAGTGGTAGTTGCCTAGTAAACCATAAAAAGTCTCGCTAACTCGATAGACAGGTTAGTAACGCATTACGTAACGTGGCAATGCTCGAATGTATATGAAGATAACATATGAATAAAAAAAATGGTTACAAATTTCCAGGTTCTTAAACGTCTGCAAAAACGCTACGGCGACATATACAATGAAAAGAATGTGATCCTCAGCGGCACTCATACGCACTCTACGCCTGGTGGATTTCTTCTGGACTTCCTCTTCGACCTGACTATCCTGGGCTTTGTCAAGGAGACGTACGCCGCTTACATCACTGGTATACTTAAGGTATTCGATCTTTTGTACATTTGGCCATTAATGTGATTGATGATGAAAATTATTTGTAAGTGATGGTAAGTTTATAATTACAACCAAAGTATTTCTAGTTCTGCCGTAAAATGATAGACATGCTTCTGTTAGAAAATAAAAGCTTTCAAGTACGATAAGATATAGAATAAGTAACATAAAATATGTAAGTTAAGCATTGTAATTTAGAATAAGTAGAGCAGGTCCCTTGTGAACAAGGAATGGGGAGCCCCCGTCGTTCTTTGCTGGTAAAACATTATGGACAAAAATTAATAAAGCAAAAAGAAATGACAGTGAAGATGAAGTGGAACCCGAAATTCCATTCAAAATTCTGTAAAAGTAATGATTTTAAATTGTTTTTTCAGAGTATAATAATAGCGCACAGTCGGCTAACTCCTGCAAGACTGGTATACAATGAGGGAGAACTACTAGATGCAAATATCAACCGTTCACCATCTTCTTATTTAAGAAACCCACCAGAAGAACGTGCCAAGTAAGTATATTTTTCAGAAACAAGCATTTTTACATTTGAAAACTTTAATATTTTGACATGTACCTTTGCCACCATGTACATAATGTATATGATAGGATTATATACATTAAAAATCGATTTCATATTGAAACATTTTACGACACGGGCAGGGCTTGAATCGGCATCCACAGCGTTCCGTGCTGTTGCCCTAACCATGTAGGACACGGTATCTCAATTACAACAAAAACCATCGGTGATATTTCAAAGAGGCTCACCAACTAAATACATAATAAGCTCGATCTAAATACTATATCAAATATATATTTTAATTTCAGGTACAAATACGACGTTGACAAGACTCTCGCCCAAATCCGATTTATAACACCGAAAAATGAAATCCTGGGGGTGATCAACTGGTTCGCAGTCCACCCCACCAGCATGAACAACACCAACAAGTTAATATCTTCAGACAATGTTGGATACGCGTCTGTTCTTATGGAGAAAGCGCTAAACGGAAACAGCACTTTGCCAGGGAAGGTGACAACAATTTTGATAATTAATAATGAAAACTAATTCAACAAATTAAACAAGCTTACAAGTGCTGGGTAGTATTTTTTTATGATAGAGTAGTAGTAGTAGATTCACTTGGTGGAATGTAAAATATCAGATATATAAAATGACAACAAGATGAGCTAGCGAAGCTAGAAACGCTATTTCATCTGTGAACCGTAAATCAGCCCGGCCGACGACAAGATTTCTAGACGAAGTCCAATAATGATTATAAACATGTGGGACCCAATGGGAATCGCACTCACGACCCGTCGATTAATAGCCTTATGTCACTACCGTTAGACCAAAGAGCCCATCAAATCATAAGTAGGTATTAAATATTTAAGTATTATTAACTTGCTGAGTCAGCGACTTCGTCCGCGTAGAATAATGCTCTAACACCAAAATAATTTTCCATTTTAACGCGTAGTTCCTGAGATTGGCGCGTTTAAACAAACAAACAATCTCTTCAGCTTTATATATTAGTATAGATATAGATACACGTTATACGTTAATATTATACAAAATGGTTTCACATATTATATAGCACATTTCCAAAGTTTAGGTAGTCGATTTTCTTATTTCAGATAATCACAGCCATAATATATAATCCAGTAAATACTAAGAGGTAAAATTGAAAAGATTTTCTAAATTCCAGGGTCGTATAGTCTGTGCCTTCGCGTCGACCAACCTCGGTGACGTTTCCCCGAATACCAGAGGCCCTCGATGCGAATTCTCTCGTCTTCCCTGCGACCAGGAGAAACTGTTGTGCAAAGGACATAAGGAGAGATGTTTCGCGTCGGGTCCGGGGAGAGACATGTTTGAGAGCACTAAAATAATTGCTACTAAGTTATTTGATACCGCTATGGTAAGATTGTGTTGTCTTTACTGCACTACAAGCCATTGGCTAACACACCACACGCATGAATTTGTGACCCTAAATAACAGGTATATGCTCAAAGACCAAATTAAAATTAAGAAGATATTAAAAAATGTTTAAATATCGGTCAAAAGGTGCATTTCTGTGTCTGTTTCATTGGTCGGTATTATTTACACTCAAGTAGTTAATCAGACTTCTATGCCTGTCCGCAACTATTAATTGTGTAAGCTACACGTGATCGCCTAGGAATCTACGGAATGGAAGATTTTAAAGGTTCATTCGTGAGAAGAGCGTAATATTACAATGGTAATTTTTAATGAATTGACTTAAAGTTACTGTGATTTGCTTTAAAAATTATTTTTTTTTAAAAATATTGTAAGAAAAAAATCCACGTAAAAATCACCTTACGTCACAAATACATTTCACTGTTAGGCTTACTTAACAATTGCGTAACTGTGACAGCGTTAAAATTTTTGATAATCAGCCACAAACAGAGCTATTATATAGGTAGTAATTACAAAAATATATTTATAAACATGAAAAATGTTAAATTATTGCTACTTGGTAAATTTATTAAATTATTGGACGTGGTACTTTAGCTTTTTACAAAACAAAAATAAAAGTTTTTTTTTAAGCCTAAATCTCGTATCAACAATAGCCAGCCCTAAAGAATAGAGATTTCACAGATGTCTGATAACATAATTGTTTCCTTTAGAAATTAAATTTATCATTTTCAAGCCAGTTCGGGTGGTTACTTAGATTCGTTCATCCAAACAAACAAGCTATTAAGTATAGCTTTCTATCATTACAGAAAGTATTAAACCAGCCAGGGGAAGACTTAACTGGACCAATCGGCGTGGTACACCAATTCGTGGAGATGCCCAAACAAATTGTATCACCTTACGATCCAATTACACAAACATTTAACGCGGTAAGTATCACCGACTAACGTGCTAAAGTAATTACATCCTATCATGATATTAGTCTTAAGGTCTTTCGAGTTGTTTTTAAGAGTAAAATGCCAATTCTTCCTATATTTGTGTCTATTTTTATTTATGTTAAACTTTGAAATTTATTTACAGCAAGCCATTTTACTTGCGCCCCGCTCAACCAGAACGATTATGTTAAAATTACAGGCATTAAACGTGTCGACCTATCGTAATTTAGTTCTATTTATGTACATTAAGATATTATGTATGCATTTTTTTGATAGAGTCAAGTATGGGATTGACTTCATGGAACTAACAAGTGTAACAAGAAATAACATTTCTGCTTTTGATATTTGAAAATCCACAGAACTGAGCCGTAACACGATTGAAACTTTACAGCTTTTCCATCTGTCTACGGTGGTTGCAGTACAACATATTTTATAAAAAAAATACATTTATTAGTTCTAGGACCCGCTAGAGATCTAACCCACGACGCATTGATAATTACTTTATTAGCCATACATTGCTACTATTAGACCAACGAGCCCATATGTATCACAATTCCATATATCTCTAACATATATCCACAAAGTACTTAATATCTTTTAAATAAAACACTTTAACGGTTTAAAACGCGATATATTAATTAAACTTATTTGAAAATGATTTTTAACTTCGGCCCGACGTTTCGGATGCTTTGCAGCAGCCGTGGTTATTTTCAATTTTGAATATTTTTTTCGCGTTTTTAAACGTTAAAGTGTTTTATTTAAATGTGTACTACTCGCGTAAACTATAGACAGTATTAAATTAATAACTTTTTAGTAAAAAGTCAAAAAACTTTTTTCATTCCTCATTTCCGTTTCCAGAGTGAAAGGGTATCAGGATGCTTTCCTGCCATGGGTTACAGCTTCGCAGCCGGCACTACAGATGGTCCAGGAGCCTTTGATTTTAAGCAGGGAACCACCTCCTCGAACCCACTTTGGAACGCCGTCAGAGACTTCATAGCTGAGCCGACTCAAGAAGACATTGACTGTCATGCTCCTAAGCCGATACTGCTGGCAACGGGACGGGTGAGTAAGTCGGTTATAGAGAAATGTAATAAGAAACATCTGTGTTGCTACTGTCTTTTTTGTCTGTGCTCTAAAAACAAGGAGACTTTCTAGGTAGCTATCATATTAAATAACAACTACTATAAGGTTATTCTAAAATATCTGAATGTCTAGCTTCACATCATATATTTAAGTAGGTATTATAAGTAGTACGCGAGTAGTACACATCTATATGAAACACTTTCAACCATCTCATCATATTATCTATTATTAATTGATCCACAGATAAAATTTCCCTACCAATGGCAACCTCGCATAGTTTCGTGTTCAGTGGCCCGGATCGGAGAGTTCGTTATGGCGGCGGTTCCAGGCGAATTCACGACGATGTCCGGTCGGCGCTTGCGCAGCGTTGTGCAGCACGCATCAGGTGCTAAGAAAGTGGTGATAGCGGGACTTTCAAATATCTATTCGGATTACATTGCAACGCCTGAGGAGTATCAAGTGTGTGATTTGTTTATTATTACTTATACTTTTGTATAAATATGGGCGCGATGTCTGCATTGTCAGACATTGTACTATTTAAAATGCCTTTATCAAACGCATTTGAATATGAATGTTAAAACAATCGTTAATTTTGTTATAATCTTTGATTTAACGAATTTTATGCGCCAAAAAATAATTTCTCGTAGTTTAGATAGTCTACTAAAAATATTTGGGTACTATAGATCAATGAACGCATAACGTGTTATAAATTATTTAAAAGTGTATTTATGAATAGTATATATGGGTATGAATAGTTTCTTCATTCAATAATATTTTTTTATACAGTATATCTTATCTGTCTTTCCTTGTCTTTTAGGCACAACGTTACGAAGCCGCATCCACCATCTTCGGACCACATACCCTGGATATCTACTTAAATAAATACGTGGAACTTACGGACGCACTACTCAAAGTTAGTTTCTAAATAACTGAAGCCAAAATAGCTCGGCGACGCATCTTGTTAAGATGTTATATTGCTGGAGTTTTCTTTCTATCAAGTGAACAGAATCCCAACCTTGTCTATCTTTCTCTATCATAAAAATGGAAATATTCTTTCTCTCACAACCCTTTCTAAAAGAGTGTATGGATATTACAGGGAACCCCAGTGGAGGACGGTCCAGAACCCCCAGATTTTAACGAGCAGTTAATCACCCTAGTGCCTCCGGTGTTATGGGACGCTGCTCCTTGGGGTCACGAGTTCGGAGACTGCGTAAAGCAACCGCAACAGGCGTACAGCTGGGGTGATACTGTCACCACCATGTTTGTTCGTATAGCATGTGTACTTTCTACACAAACATACATTTTAATAATTCATAATATAATAATAAAAATCGGAAGATGTTTTATGTAGATAGGACGTCTGACGTCGCCAGAGATCATGGATTTGAAACCCGCGAAAACTATATTAGTTACACAGACGCAGATGTACCAAAAGGGAATGGGTGTTCACGAGGTACACTTGTGAAATTAAATGCAATTGTAACTTAACCAATACAAAGGGACATTATTTATATTTACTATCTTTTGAAATGAGAAACGTTCGGTACGAAAACATACCCAATGCTAATAACGGTAGATATTAATTTTCATTAAATACTTTTAACTGTTTAAAACGCAAAATATCTTACATATCGCTGCTATGCTAGAATCACTAATGACGCCTGCGTCTGATGTACTAAAACTATATCTCAGGTGTCTGGTCATCCAAGAAACAGCATCCGTCATGGGCGCTGGTTTGCGACAGTTGAGAAGTTAGAATCGGAAGAAGACGATGCTTGGACAATCATCGCTACTGATGCTGACTGGGAAACGAAGTGAGATTTTTTACAAATGAAGAATTATTACATTGAAGAAAATGTTGACTCAGTACGGTCTACAGTTAATGAGAGTAGTACATTCAAATAAAACATTTTAGCTTAAAACGCGAAATATATTATTTAAAACTATTTACAAATTATTTTAACTACGGCCGGCCGTTTCCGCATGTTTTGCAGCAGCCGAGGTCTACTACAGACTAAATAATTAAATATGGAGGGTGTCTCTAATGTCAAAGTAAAAAAACTCCTACATTAGCGCCATCTGTTCCGTCGTAATGGTAATTCGCCAAATACCAACTACGACGTGAAATGTATATGTTACATCTTTACTATGTTTTTAACATTTGTGCTGTTCTTGTTATAAAAAAAGGATAAATTTAATTATTTCCCGCTTCTAGATTCACCTGGATTAGAAGTTCAAAGATTCTTGGCACGAGCCACGCTCAAATAGAGTGGGAGATCCCCGAAGGTACTCCCCCCGGGAAATACAGACTGCATCACTATGGAAATTACAAGTACATTTTGGGCGGCATCTACCCCTACCATGGGTTCTCGGATAGTTTCGAAGTCACATAACTACAAACAATTATTAAAATAAAAAATAACGCATGCCATTATAGGTATTATTTAAATGTGATTTGTGTTACGCCAAATTGTTTGTAGATAGTTTATTATAGTTAGCGAACTAGGATTCAAATCCTTACAAACATTGTCGTTCTACTTGCCAGTGGAAATCGCTTTTAAAAAATAAGGTATTATTATATGGTTTAGCTTTGTGGTAGATGAGAATACGTACTACTTGTAAAAGGGTTAATTAGACCAAAATATGACCGCTGGACGGTGGCCGTTAGTCAATTTTTGCTATTATTACTACTGTTTGTAGTCGGTTTTTATTTTCAATATATTTATTATGGTAAGTTGTTCAATTAGAATAAAATTGCCAGTACAGTAAAAGAGCTAGTCGATAATATAGGCATAACTTTCGCGTTCAAAATGGGCTTTAGATTTTGACGTTTGAGTTAAGTAGTGAATTTCTTTTTTATTTGGTTTCGCGTTATTACCCTGGGGCTTCACAAACGAGCCGGACGATGTGTGATTGCGGCTAGACCAAAGCTGCCCCGAAAGCAATGTCCCAAATGTGAAATTTGGAATACCAAAGTGTTGCTAGGTGCATTAATACTTTGATTACATCTCTTTTTCATAGCCAAGAGGTCCAAACTTAACTCGTACAGCTTGAAGAAGTTTAAATCTGTTATGTACATATATGTAGGTATTATATGAAAAGTATTGTTACATTTATGTATGGTACAAGTTTATTAATAAAGTATTTAACGTTAAAGCTATTTTATTATTCTATAATATATTTGCCTATACATAGTGAGTTGTAAATTGAGTGGAAATATTTGAGAGGAAAAATCTAATTTGTGTCTTCGGCTGTTTTCTTTGTCTATTACTACTAACGATGGTTCAGCTGTAAAAATAAAATATTGTGGTCAATGGCGAATGTTTGGTTGTCTACTAGAACCGTAATTCTTTTCAACATATGTATTTAAAAAAGAATATATATATATATGTCTTATGTCAAAGCTATAATTCGTTCTCTAAAGAGTGATCACCACATTAAGAATGTGTTATTAAGTTAAGCCTACATTCGATTAAAATTGTGTCTGTAGTTTACGCGAGTAGTACACATTAAATTAAAACACTTGAACGGTTTAAAACGTGACATATATTAGTTAAACTCATTTAAAAATTATTTAAACTACGGCCGGACGTTTCGGGTACTTTGCACCAGTCGTGATCAAGGGGAGTTATCGGGTTTTAAGCCGTTAAAGTTTTTTATTTACTTTTTTTTGTTCAAGTGGATGAAATTATTTTTAATATTACAACGATCTAATTTAACACCAAAAACATAAATAACATTTATCAATAGTAATTAACAATTAATATCATTTCACGATAATACTGTCTCCGATGATGGATGGGAATTGATAATAGATATTTTTATTAAGTTATTAAAAATTAGTATTAGTGAACGTAAAGGCACGTTTTGTTTTATTAGTATTTTATTGCTGAGTACATAGATACTGCGTTAGGTGTCGTTTTTAAAGTTATATCAATTAAAATAGTTTTCTGAGAAGTGGTTTAAGTTATAAGGTAAGCGTATGTATTTGATATTATAAGAAATATGGACGTAGAAATTAAAAAAAATATATAAGTGTCAAAAATTTGAAGGCAGCTACAACATCTCATACAAAATAATATTGTAGGAGTTATTAAATTTTATTTTGTTCACAACAAAAGGTCAAAAATCAAAAACAGTTGAAATTAAAGTTACTTTTTTTTATTTACTAAACTTTGATTAAATATTCTGATTCTACTTGAAAAAATGTTATTACTTTAGGATTTTAAGCCTGGGTATTCAAAGTAGTGAACCACGTTTCACACTAACTTATCCACCATGGCGATACCACTGCTGGGAAAAGTGGTGATGGTGGCAATCACCCTCGCCGTCATCGGCGGTCTGACAGCAGTGATTATCCTCTTTGTGAACGATTCTGCGAAAGACGATGACGGTGCAATAACGGAACCACCGACTACACCAGAAGTACCTAGGGATCCAAATGTACTCTACTCGGGGGTTGGGATAGCTGATATGACGGGACCTTGTGTGCAGATTAATTTCGTAAGTACATCTTAATAATCATTCTCATCATCACACTTCACCTAGGGTTACCAACTCTCAAAAGACCCTTGAAATATTTATATTTATATTTATTGTAAGAGTTGAGTTGTATCAATTGTATTCTCAGGGAGGGCAACATTTTACCGAAGTCTTTCTGGTAATCCCCGAAGGTTGCAAACTGTGCCCTTGCGTGAACTGCAAACTTTATTTAGAAGAATTTTCACTATTATTTCTTTGTACATCTTATAAAGCATAATTCTTTTCGTTCCTTTTCTTCTAAAATTGTATGTGTTGTTTCTTCAAGTGATAATCTCACTTAAATATATTGGCTAACATCGCTGATAGCAATGTTTTACTAGGAGAAATTATACACATTGTCTTATAATGCAGTCTTATAAAAAATGTGTAGGTACCTTACATTTTTTTATGATAAAGGAGAACATTAAAATAAAACGGGGAGACTCCCCGTGACCACGTCTGCTGCAAAGCATCCGAAACGTTGGGCCGAAGTTAAAAATAATTTTCAAATAAGTTTAACGAATATATCGCGTTTTAAACCGTTAAAGTGTTTTATTTACTACTCGCGTAAACTATAGACAGTATATAAAGGAGAACAGACAAGCACGGGGTTTACTTATTAGTGCGTGAAATAACATTACTACAAGATCTACAGACTAAAAACAAAACGCGATTAAGTTTTTTCATTTGTGACGGTGGATTTACACTAGGGGAGAAATTCGTCACCAATTTAACATCCAGGCTTGAAAACGAAGTCCATGTGTTAAAAAATATAAAATTTGATTACAAATATACCTTGTGGGAATAGAACCAACGACCCGCCGACCCGTTATTTTAAATAGAAGTTTATTTAGGAATCACCGCTTTTTCAGTACCTACTTACCGATAACATGTTACCTAATTTACCTAATTCTCATTAGAAATGGGTCTTATTATTATTACGATACGTTGTAATCCTGATAATAATTAATTGTTATTGTTAATTATCGACACGTGAACACTTATAAACATTTCAAGATATTTAAGCATCTTATCAATTTAGCGACAGGTAACTTTGTATCTCGCTACATTATTTATGTTTAAGCGGTTTTAATCTTGAAAATATGTTTAGTTATAGATATAATATATATAACATAGCTATATTAATATTAATGGTATTGAGGTGGTAATGGTTTACTAGATTTATAAAAATTATCGTAAATATTTCAAATGTAGATTTATAAAACATTTCCAAAAAAATATGTCTAATACACTTTCCGCGGATCAAACGATAACTATTCTCCTCGAAGTTCGAACCTAAGACCTTAAAAGGGTAATCTGAAACTATAATAACTCTGAATTTCTAGTTACATTGTAGTTGGTATTTAATTAAATTAAAAATGTTTTTGAAAACAAATATTATTATCCAACGATATATAACAAACGACAAGCATGACAGAAAGATAAGGAAAATTACGATGCATAAAATAATAATTACAAATATTTCTTCACATATTTTCCTTCAAAATTTGTGTTTATAGACGAAAGTCGTAGGTAAAACATTTTTGAATCAAAGCTTAGGGTAAAACTATATTTGCAATACAATTTTAATTAGAGCAATAAGTTGATGAAACTCTGTGCCCTGTCCGACCAAAACCATACATTGTCTCCCCGGGATTCGAACCCAGGACTTCTTGTGCTTAGGTTACAAGGATTTACTTATTATGCTTAGGCTACACGGATTACGAAGGATTTCTGTAGTTAATGCGAGTTGTGCTTCTACATTGAAATAAAACACTTTTAATGCCTTAAAACACGAAATATGTAGTAACCTTATTATAATAAAATACGGCTCGACGTCCTCCGTGACCACTCCTGCAAACAGTCTCACGAAGGACTATAAATTAAAAGTTTATTAATATATTTCGCGTTTTAAACCTTATAATGGTTTAGAACACAAAATAGTGTTATTTAAACAGTGATTTTTTAAATTGTTACTACAACTTGTCAATTGCTGTTCAATTAGTCAGTGGTAGTGCACAACTCGCATGGATGTTTCTCAACATCTATTACACGTGTAAACTACAGACAGAACTTTGCTTCAGATGGGATATGCAGATATAGCTCAAACCGGCGAAGGTATACACACGCGACAGTTCTCTCGGGCCTTCATTTTCCTGAAAGGTGACACGAGGGTCGTTCTGGTGACAGCTGAGATTCAGGCTGTTGGAATCGGAGTCAGGCGAGAGGTAAGCATTGTATACGGTCTACTAGCAGTACAGCGTCACTAATAATAGTACGACCGTCGTAATTGGGAAACGATTCTCGACGTTTTGCCATTACGACCGGATGGCATCATCGAATGATGCGCGTTGCTGGACTCATCGTAGTGTTAATTGAATCAAATATAAAGCTGAAGAGTTTGTATGTTTAAATGCTTTAATCTCGGAAACTACTGGTTCTAATTTAAAAGTATCTCTCTGTGTTGGATAGAGTAGGCTTTAGGCTACAAAACATTAGGCAGCAATCAAAAGGACCGGAGAAACCGTGGGAAAAGTGGAGAAATGGGGAAAGTTACGTTGCGAAAACTGTTTAAAATACCCAATAAATATGATTGTGTAAAATCTGTCTTATAAGATTAATTCGCAAGAACGACGGGTCGCAGACGACGTCGTGGGTAACAACTATCATTTATAAAGCTAATGAAGTTGTTGGCAAAAATAAATGTATAGTAGCAGCTATTATTATAAAAACATTAAACTTTCTGTGACCTAAATAATGGAAATTTAAATTTTTAAGCTTGGAGGAAAATAATGTATGTGAAATCCCGTATCTCTTACAGGCTTATTATGTCCGCCTAATTTCTTATTTCTCATCAAATACATGCCAGCCTACTCGTAGGTATGTTGATAGGAGCTTGGGTAGTATTAAATTAACGTCCGGTAAGTATTCGAAGCCCCGGGCTCAATACGGTTAATCATAATAATAAAAAAAAGTATTAAGCTATTTTTTTTACTTTACGGTTGATCACATCGAGTCATTATTCCTCTAGACTAAAATTCTACTCTCTGACAGGGTACTCTTTAACATCTAAGGTCCAAGACTGATTTTAGGATTTAGCTTTGATTGCATTCAGTTTTTGATTTTTAAACATTTTACGTAGCACATGTAATTTTTACGTTTCAATATTCAATTCTAGGTAGTGAAGAATCTCCAAGAACGGTACGGCGACGTATACAGTTTGCGAAACGTAATAATCACGGGAACTCACACGCACAGCACTCCGGGCGGCCATCTTGTGGACTTCATATTAGACGTGTCCATATTAGGTTTCTCCAGGGAGACTTTCAATGCATATGTTGATGGCATTACTAGGGTAAATATGTCGAAATATAGATTATTTTTATTATAGATTCGATATTTCTGACACGCATTGAATATACAATTTCCAGATGGAGTCCAATATGTTTCAGGAAGCATTGAACTCACGACCCGTTGATTTTTAGCCATGTATTACCACCATTAGACCAACGAGCTAATCAAAATGAAAAAAAAATGTATTTTTGTAAAAAAATATTCTGACTTTTAAAATTTTTTGTAGAGTATAATCCGCGCCCACGAGAATATCGTTCCTGCGAAACTATTTTTCAGCACGACATCCGTTTCTAACGCACAATTAAATAGATCTCCATTCTCTTATGAAAATAATCCAGAAGAAGAGAGAAATAGGTGAGCAGAAATGATTTAATTTATGAAAACCAAAAAGCTAATATGAGTCCTAATGTAGATATATTTAAAAAAATGTTTTCTTTCTTATTCATAATATTTCAGATACGACACGAATACGGACACGGAATTGTCTCAAGTGCGCATTGAGAAGACAGATGGCAGTCTCCATGGTGTGATGAATTGGTTCTCAGTGCACACAGTCAGCATGAACATGTCCAATAAGCTCATTTCATCAGACAACCTCGGTTATGCTGCTATGAGGCTCGAGGCTACCCTGAATCCAGGAAGTCAGACGGGAAAGGTAAAATTACATATTGTTGATACGTTCGTAAAATACGTTTGTGTACATACTATGTAAACAATTTTCATTCATAAATTTCCTTGATCTAAAGGATCCTTTTGAAGGGACTTGAAACTAGGGACGCTACTAGATACGAAGGAGATAATAAGGACGAGGTAAAATGCATAATTAAAACATATTGTAGGGGTTAGTTGACTCGGTAGCTCAATTGGTTAGAGCAACAGCACGGAACGCCGTGGATGTCCGATCAAATCCTGTCCGTATCGTAATTTTTTTCAATTTATAATTTACATTGCATTGTAGTTAGTATATTAAGATCGATAAATCTTGGCATATAAAGCTGAAGAGTTTGTTTGTTTGAGCGTGCTAATCTCAGGAACAGGTTCGAATTGAAAAATTATTTTTGTGTTGGTTAGAGCATTTACCGAGGAAGGTTATTATATTAGGCTATAAAACATGGCGCTGTGTCTAATAGGAGTGAAGAAACAGCGGGAATTATGAAGAAAAAAAACGGGGAAAGTTATTCAAGGGTTTCCGATGCAAACGCTGCAAAAACGGTTCAAGATACCAAAAAAAATATTTACGAAAAAAATATTCCTATTTGAATGATCTAAAAAGAAGTCCGCGATGCTATATGTCTATCTTTTAGGATTAACTTGCAAGAACGAAGAGAAGGGACGCGACTGACGTCGTGGATATGGGAACTGGTAGTAAATGTATATGTATAACTGATTTGACAATCATAAAGACAGCATATTGACTGAACACAAGAACAAGCATTTAAGGAGACATCATTTAAAACTAAAGTCATGGAAATGGAATTGAGCTGACCTTCCCTTAATAGATTCAAAAACCTTTTGGATTCATTCTTCAAGAAATTATAATTGTCACACACCAGCTTAGGCTGCGAGTGAAATAAATAAATAAGTGTACCTACATGAATGGATGATATTTGATTTGATTTGACACTTTCCTCTTTTCCAGCCTACAATAGTGACTGGATTCTTCTCAGCCAGTGAGGGTGACGTGTCCCCAAACACCCTCGGAGCTCGATGTGAGTTTAGTGGAGACGCTTGCGACAATCAGTTCGCTCTTTGCGAGCAATGGGAACTCTGTTTCTCCGTTGGCCCTGGATCAGATATGTTCGAGAGCACCAGGATTATTGGAACACGAGTTTATGAGGGTGCTCTGGTAAGTAACATACCTCCATAAAACATCGCGATTACACTTAACGGCTTCTTTCTCTGTGGAGTGATTCGTGACGACCACCACCACACAACCATCCGTTTAATATCCAAATATTTCAAACTATCAAACGTTCCACCTTTATATATGTTTTCATTCTATTCGTAGTACCAATGCCTGGTGAGTAATTATTAGTTATATATATATATTGATAACCCCAAATTTCTTAGGAAGCCCTAAAGAGTCCTGGTGAGGAGCTTCAAGGTGATCTTGCTGTGATGCATCAGTTCATTCATATGCCTTCAGAAACGGTTGCCAAGTACGATCCGGTTGCCAGAACTTTTAATACTGTAAGTGGCATTACAAAATATTCTTCAATACACGCGTATTACTAATATTGTTGATAGGTCTACTACATAACAAATGGACATTAAAGGACGGCTGCTTTGCCCTATTACAGTTTGTTACTTTTTTTCAGTTGAATCCGGTCAGTGGTTGTGTTCCAGGTTTGGGCTATAGTTTCGCTTCGGGAACTATAGATGGCGCTAACGTACTTAACATTACACAGGTAAGTCTTAATTTAACCTTTGATTTTATTGAATTTAATTTTTTTGACTTTGCTTAAAACGCAATGTCATGTATTATTTAGAGAATTAATTTAAGTTTAAAAAAACTTTCACCTGTAAAAGTATATCTGAGTTATTTTATCGCTTTAGTTTTAAACCATTTAATTAGATCCGTTTTTTAAGTAGCGTCTATAGTTTACGCGAGTGATACACTTTTAACGATTTAGGACGCGACACATATAATTTAAGTAATTGTTTTAACAACGGCACGACATTTTGAATGCTGTGCACTTGCCGTGGTCACGGGGGACGGAAAATAGTGACTGTGAGGTGCGAATTAGTAATATTTATAAGAATCCTTACTGTTTTTACAGGGTACAATTATAAATAATCCGATACTCGACGCTATCAGCGGTATAGTAGCACGTCCAACCGAAGAAGACAATGAATGCCACGCCCCAAAACCTATACTGCTGGCTACCGGCAGGGTAAGTTAAAACTTTAAACAATCAAACACGCAACTTAGGAATTTTACAGAGTTTTTAATGATTTGGCAGAAAGGTAAAAATTGGTAAGTATATATATAAGAACGAGGGAACGCGGAAGACGTCGTGGGTAACACCTTACATCAACAGTTACATGTATACAGTTGAACAGGAGGTTTGCAAAAATAAACTTGATAGCCGAAATAACTATTCTACGCGGTCGAAGTCGCTGACACAGCTCGCTTCAGTATAAGTTTGTATCTGTTTCAGGCTCAAATACCAATCCCCTGGCATTCCAGTGTGGTCTCAGCAACGATAATCTGGCTCGCCGGTCTGGCGATAGCAGGCGTACCAGGCGAACCCACAACTATGGCTGGCAGAAGGATTAAAGATGTCGTCGGTTCTGTGTTGGAGGAGAAGGGCTTGGAGCCTCGTGTAGTGGTGTCCTCGCTATGTAACGAGTATATACAATACGTCACTACGTTTGAAGAGTATCAAGTGAGTTGTTAGTCATCTATAACGCGCATGGTTCTTAATTATAAAGAAAAAAATATAAATCTTTTATAAAAATGCTCTATAGTATCTTTGGCACACTCGCAGTAAAAAATCTATTTATATAGAAGAACAGGGGGGGGATTCATTTAATGAAAGGTGAGATACTCCAGCCATATAATATTTGAACAAGATGCGCTGTCTATCTATTTCTATGGATGGACTATGGATATTCGGAAATTCTCAGACTAATATGTAAACCAAGACTACGGCGTTATCAACTGTGGACTGCGGTTCGCGACCAGAAATATTGATACTTCTACCATCCATTTGACATCTACATTCCAGCAAATTAGAAACATGTTAGATCCCGTGGAGATGGAATCCACGACCATCCATCGCTGCCATTATACCATAGGCACATAAACATGTCAGCTTTAAATTAGTCATTATTTTCTTTCTATTTATTATTCTTCTGAAATATATATTGCGCGCTTTAGATGCGAACATATATTTATAACGAGATATATAAAATGTTGTTTTTAGGTACAAAGATATGAAGGAGCTTCTGTCATATACGGGCCCCACACACTTGACATATTTCTTAACAAATTCCGAGAGCTGACAACAATTGCACTGGAGGTAGGTCCAAATTTGTGTCTAAACTTAAAAATAATTATATAATATGATTTAAATAGACCACTTTTAATGGTTTATAACGCGATAGTAGTTAACTTATTCTTAATTTAATTTAGCTATGTTCGAAGTTAAGACTGCTACACTAGCTTCTTTTCACCTCGACATTGGGCACGCCCTCTATCTTCAGTCCCCCTATACTGTTACTCTATAATACTTGTATCATATGTTTTAGTAACCTGTTCTAACTTTCTAAATAGACCAAATTTTTCTGAAAATTTTCGCTATACCTATAATTAATATTTATTTATGAACCAAGAATGAGTTACTAATTTTTGAAGACGATAACCAAAACATAACTTTTTTTCTATTCCACTAAAATAGATTTAGCGCTCTAAAACATTTCGACTATTTTTGACTCCCAAATTTATTGCTGGTAAGTAGATACACCAAATTTAAAATAAAATAATTCATTTCATACATACATATGTACGTATACAGTGGTACAGCTAGTGTAGCGGCTGGCGCTGCAGGGGCACCAGGACCCCGAAGGTTGGGGGGGGGAGGTTATTTAACCTCATTTAAGAGAAAAAGCGTAAAAAAACGAAAGTTTTTAATGGACATTTCTTATTCCTAATTTTGATATAAGTTCAAACTACGCGGAAAGATGATGACGGAAGAGATTCTTTCTTTATGTATCGGGCCCGTGTCCCCCTGGCAACGCTTTTATACCTTACTATGCCCTTAATAAGAAGGTTAAATTAGGACTGCTTTTCAGGGTGGTGATGTCCCACCAGGTCCAACACCAGTGGATTATCGAAACAGGACGATCAGTTTGATCCCCAGAGTGTTTGTGGACACATCCCCGCTGACACATCGTTTCGGTGAAGTTCTTGAAGAGCCGCAGTCAGCGAGACCAGGAGAAACTGTACGAGCTACCTTCGTAAGTGCTCTTTTCTAACGAATGAATTTTAAATAGGGTTGCAACGAATAGTAAATTCGGCAGAAAACCGAATATTCGGCAAAACTAATCGGTCAGATTACAGCCCCCAAATTCAATAGTGTAAGAGACGCCGAAGAGACCGAATACCAATTAGTAACCGAATATTCGTTGCAAGCCGAATTTTAACGTGTATAGGTACAATGAATTATGCTAACTACATTACTGCGATAGGCATAGTGTTCTTCATATGTACCTTGCTCTGTGTACGTATTATGAATGAATATATTCTAAAAGTTGTTTATTTAAAAAAAGCTCTGAAATTGCCCGGTTTGTATAAATTCAAGTTAGTTACTGTGCTAAGTCTGCTTCCTAAACCTTTCTAAAATAATAAAAACGTATGTTTGTATCATTTATACGTTCTCTAATTCTTGATACGCTCGTGTGACTGTCAAAATTTTATGTCACAACACAATATTTCATGTTTTACAGATAGCGGCCAATCCGCGAAATAATCTTCGCCAGGAGTCGACTTATGCCGTAGTGGAGCGGCTAGAGCTGGGACGATGGGTAGTCGTTGCTACCGACGCCGATTGGAGCACAAAGTATGTATAATATAGTTCACCAACCAGAACGGGATGTATTGTAAGAAGAGGACATGCAAGCTTGTGGTTCACTTGATAATAAGTGAAATAGTTATATAGCCTAGCTGAATTTATTAAAAATTAACTTTAAATAAAACACTTTTACCGTTTTAAAAACCCTTTTTTTTTTTTTTTTTTTTTTTTTTTTTTTTTTTTCCCCCCCCCCCCTTTTTTCGCTTTCCAGCAGCCGTGGTCACGGGGGTCCCCCCGCCCCCCCCCCCAAAAAACCCCCAACGTCGGGCCGAAGTTAAAAATCATTTTCAAATAAGTTTAACTAATTTATCGGTTTCGTTTTAAACCGTTAAAGTGTTTTATTTAAATGTGTACTACTCGGTAAATATAGACAGTAAAAAATTATTTTTCCATTCTGTCGCTAGTTTAAGTTGGCGCCATCTATGCGTATGATGAGACATTAAAATATCAGGAAACTTTTTTCAAAACAAAAAAGAGAAAATAAACTCGAAAAGATAATAATACTCTTATAGCCTTCGTTTCAAATTAAAATATAAGGAATTATAGTTTTTAAATGTACGAGTACCTACATAAGGTAGACAAACTTTTTTATTACGGTTATCTTAACCGATTATTTCCAGGTTTACATGGCGGCAGGATTCGATTCTCGGTACGAGCAGAGCGACCTTCGAGTGGACGATACCAGCTGATACCATTGCTTTGGAGATGCCTTACCGCATGGTGTACTACGGCACAGCGCGAGGGCTTCAGGGTTACAGAGAGTTCACGGGAAGATCCAAAACTTTTTCAATAAATAGCTAGCGATATTCCTGTGTTTTATTGACAGAAACTAGTTATCAACAAGTCAGACTAGTGTATAAGGGTTCCGTACTATTATTTATGAAAACGACACAAAACCACGTTTGTCTGATGACAGCTACCTTTTAATATATAAATGTAAATACATTATGACAAACGAAGTCTTTGATATTACCATATTATAACAGTAATGTAGCATAAAGAAAAACTCGGACCTCACGTTTATACGTAGATCTTTTCTTAGAAGAAAAGGCAATTTACACCTGTTTGTTCTATTTAAGTAATACTCAACCATTTGCAATTTGTTACAAATATAGACTTCCTCGTTAATCACAAGGTATAAAGACACGATTACACGAATATATGCTCTATGGAGAAACAACAAGGACGAAAATAACATGTGTCTATATATTGTATTGGATTTTAAACACGTGATCAGACACGGTTCTAGTCAGTATTCAAATGGTCGTTGTGGTAATAGAGAAAAACGTAAGAAACAGCCGGCAACACAATTGAATTTGGCCAAAATACATTTTATTATGTGTTGTGTGTATTGACCAACAGTCAACTTTTGGGATGTCAAAAATACTGTAGGATAGTTATGATAGATAATCGAAATAGTAAGTACCGCAATTTTGTAGTTTTTTACATTACTTCGATGACTATTCCACATAAATATAGAAAAAATAGCTGTATATGTATGTTTATCATCATCATTTTGTCGAAAATTGTTAAGTTTTATTATGGAAGCAAATTATTATTAATCGAGAGATTTTAGTTCTACCAACTCTTCTCGATTCAGATTCAATTTGAATAGGACAGCGATTTTTACGAGAAAAGACTTACAAAAATTGGATCAATATATATCTATATATAAATAACATTATTTAAATATTATTTAGCTTCATAGAATGTATTTATAGTAATAAAAACATAATTACAGTTCTTCTACCACATATTGATATTTTGAGTTGTATATGAAGTCTCCATTCTATGATTGTTTTAATATTGTTTTGAATGTTATCAGTAAAAATATTAAGGGTCATAAACTTGAACTCGTTCCTATCTCTCGAATTAGCGATAAGAGTGTTTGTGTCATTTATCTTAAAACCGGTATTTGTGTTTTGTGTTAGGGCGATAGACAGTGTTTTTATTGTAGTTTATATAAACGCAAAAGTAAGTAAAATTACTACTAAATGCTTATAATTATAAAACAATACTTATGAAAGATTGTTAATTTTAGATGTTAATAATTTTTTTTTACATTAATGTCAAGCAATTATTACAGTAAGTCCTCTTAATCTTGAATTGTGTCCTTGCGTTTTAAAAACTGTCGAGGTGTGAGTGAAGGTTTTGATAAAAGTGCCTTAATTGAACAAAATACCGATCATAAAGTTCCAAATTCGATTTCCGTCTGTCTATCTATTTATACTTACCAGTTAAAGTGTTTACGTTTATATGATTTATGAAGTGGGTCGCGAATGAATTGTGTTAAAAATTACATAAAAATTTTCCCTAAAATTGCACCTTTCGCACAATGTAATGTAATCTCAATTGGTTAGAGCAACAGCACGGAACGCAGTGGATGCCGGTTCAAGTCCTGCCCGTGTCGTAAATATTTATCAATGAAAAATTGACTTTACTTCATATAGTGTCACCATGTGCAATGACATATAAAAAATACTTATGTTTTCAAACTTTATGGTTTTAACAATAAAACGCTGAGCAAACATAAAAAAATTAATATTACAGCGCTCAGTCACAATGTCTAAAATTACAAAGAAGATAATAAACAGTCCGGAATCCTGCGTGGACGACAACCTTCGTGGTGTGGTGGCTCTTTACCCTAGTTTGAAGCTGCACCCCAAGCACAGAACGATTACGATACGGCAGGATGTAAGATTGTATTTTTTTATATTGAAGCCTCACTTGATGGTAAGTCATATACCCAAGCCATATAAAATTACACTAGATGCGCTGTTGACCTATTTTTGCTTTCGATATTCGAAGATACACAGACTGAAACTACACACATTCATACATCACGGCTGTTTTATCGATGTATAGTGGTTCAAGACCCGGTCAAAAATTATAGATTTCAAGTTAATCAATGGTACACACATTATTATGCCCTTTGAACTTATCTATGATACTATGAATTAGATTTAATAATTAGTCAAAGTTTCCCCCGGTTTCGAACCTAGGATCTCTGACGCTGTGCCACAAGTGTCGCATAGACACTGTCTATAGTTTACGCGAGTAGTACACATTTAAATAAAACACTTTAACGGTTTAAAACGCGATATATTAGTTAAACTTATTTGGAAATGATTTTTAACTTCGGCCCGACGTTAAAAATCATTTTCAAATAATCGCGTTTTAAACCGTTAAAGTGTTTTATTTAAATGTCGCATAGATATTAAAGCTATGGAATCGATTTTTCTGTCAAACTTTTCTTCTGTTTAAAAAGTAAAAATGAATTAAATATGAAATATAAAATGGCGTTAAGTACCATCGTACCTATTCTGCTTTCAGGCTGATAGTAAAAGAGTAGCCGTACTCGGTGGTGGTGGGTCAGGCCATGAACCTTTTGCAGCAGGTAATTGTCATAAGATGTTTTGTAATATGGTATTAATGAGACAGTGTTTAATACCACAAAATATTTAAGATATAATTTTTAACAAAAGATGTTATTAACTTCACGTCATTGGATATCTTTTTTTAATTTCGTCCAATATATTATAAGTAACATTAATTAATAACAATTTCGATGGTATAAATTTGATATACTAGATAAATTATTTTTAATTTATTTTAAATACGGCTACTAATATATTTCATGTCTTAAGCCGTTAAAAGTGGTTTGTTTAAATTTGTACTACTTGAGTAAACTACAGACAATAATTATCGTTTTCAAAATTAAATACACGGTTTCCTAATATCCCTTTCTCAAAAACCTATTGCTATAATAACACATGTATTTTAATGTTGTAGGATTGATTGGCGCCGGAATGCTAGATGGCGCTGTCGCTGGGGGGGTATTTGCATCTCCTCCCACGGGACACGTTCTGTATGGCATTAAACATTTGTATAAAAATAATTCAGGTACGCATATAGCAATGGGTTCTTTTTTTATAATAAAAGAGGACAGACTACCACTTGAAGGACGAAAAACCCGGCCACATAACATCTAAACAAGATGCGTTGTCGATGTACTTTAGCTTTGGATATTCGGAAATCCACAGACTGAAACCGAAACGCGATTAAACTTTACCGCTATTCATTTCATAATCAGTTTATTTAGAGAAGCAGACTTCAGACGAGTACATCAATGACAAAAGAAAGATAGTTGTATACGTATACTAATAAGTTATTCCAGAGGGTTTAAAGAACTTTTACATAAAGTGTTTAGCCTAAAACGTAATTACTTATTTAGTTAATAATATTAAGATATATGGTATTATCAATGCGAGTTTGGTATTTACTTGCTAACCTCAATAAAAATGAAGGCCACAAAATTATCAAAGAAATTAACGCAAGAAATTTTCCGCCCCCCTATCCGCTTTTTAGATTTGTATGAGCAAGACATTTAATATTATAATCTGTATTATGCAGGTGGTGTGTTGGTACTCCTTGGCAACTATACAGGCGATAGATTAAATTTTGGGAAAGCTATTGAAAAGGCGAAAATAGCAGGAATTAAGGTAAACCAATAAGATGTTCACCTGTGTATGTATTAAGTTGTTTTACTACCCACCTACATGTGCTATGCATACATTTAAATGACATGACATGATGCCACTATATTCTGTCCATTTGTTTTACCAATTGACCGAGTGCTACCGTAGGACTGGTAGAGCAACAGCACAGAACGCTGACGATGCCGGTTCAAGGCCTACCCAAGTCGAAAATGTTTTAATTTATTTTCGATTATAAATAATATGTTTGTTCCAAAGCCCGTAGCAGGTACTTATTAAACCTTTTTTTTACACACAAAAGATGTTTGTAAAGTGTGATTATTTTTAACGATATGGCTTATATCTTTTAGGTAGAGGGTATGATTGTAGGAGAGGATGTTGCATCGAGTCAAAACAAGACTGGGGGACGGAGCATGTGCGGAGAAGTATTTTTCTATAAGGTAACTAATTTACTACTAAAAAAATCTGTTAACTAAATCGAAAATTATTTCGTACATAGTCCTTACTTTTTTAAAATAGTGAGGGCACTTAATGGAAGGTGAAATACTCCAGCTATATAATATCTGGCGTTGGATATTCGGAAATCCACCGACTTAAACCGAAACGCGATTAAATTTCACAACTTTTTCATCTGTTGACAGTGGTTTATAACCTGGACGGAATTACGATATTCCTACCACCTATTTAATATTGAGACAGATTGCCAGGCGATGTTTAACATGATTCAGAAAAAGCATAACTTGATTTAAAACATGTTATACCCGGTGGAGATCCCAGGTATTGTATTACTACACAAAATAATGGGATAACTAATGGACGATTTGTTTTAGCTATGCGGAGGTCTGTCAATGAAAGGTTACGATTTGCAAGCAATCAGAGAGATGGCCGTCGAAGCTAATAAGAACATGGCAACATTAGGAGTATGTTTAACTGCTTGCTCCTTGCCAGGTACCCTTCTATTGACGTTAAAGCCAGCCTAGGATATAGAGCAGACACATTTCTGTGGCTTATTAATAATTTTGTTATTATTGAGAGTTATTGGTTACTCAGGACTCTGGGCTTATCTACAAATTATTACAATCATTAATAATATTAGATACAATAGTTTTTAGTAATACATATAAGTGATAACTCTAGGTCAGCCGCCGCTCTTTGAAATAGCATCTGACGAGATGGAAATAGGCGCAGGAGTGCACGGAGAAGCCGGGATAGAAAAAAGAAAAATCGGAACTGCTAAGGAAATCGTCGCTTTGATTCTTGATCAGGTAATGAAGAATACAACAATTTAGGTAAATTAATTTTATCCAAATCTGTATTCTTATTATTATCATATACTATTAAACCAAACTGCAAAACGGTATATTTATATCTACCCTTACATTTAAATAAAAATTGTGTTCGTGTAACTGAGTACCTACATTTATAATATATAAAGAACACCATCTTCGAGAAGCTGCTTGGTGACTGGTCTCACGAAGCTCCCATGTCCCACCTCAGGATGTCTTTCCAGTTAAATCTGGTCCCGATCTTAACACTCCAATGTTCTCGTTCTCTATCGTGTGCAGATGATAGAGTTTGCGTTTTATTATATCTAAATTTGTCTTATATGTGTCACTCGATTAAGCTTCACTTCAGCTTATATTCATAGACTTTGAAGACATGACTATAACCAATAAACAATATGTGATTAAACTAAATAACAGGTAACAGCACATTTGAAACTAAAAGCCGGCGCAAGAGTAGCAGTTATGGTCAACAATATGGGAGGCACTTCTATCATGGAAATGAACATTATTGCTGCCGAGACAAAGGACTACTTAGGTAAGATACGGATAATAAAGGTAAACATTTTCTAACGTAATACCGACGTAAAACACAGTCCCTTGCACAATTGACACCATTAACTACATATTTAAATGTCAAATGTCTGCGAGGGTAGTTGTTAAATTTATCTATTACTATATATACAGATAAAAATAGGATACGAGCGGAACGAATATTCTGCGGGCATTTAAAGACCTCTTTAGAAATGCAAGGATTCCAAATCTGCCTCTTGCATTTGAATGACGTCCATGGAAAACTCTGGTTGGAGTTACTAGATCTTCCAACAGACGCATTGGGTTGGACTGGAGGTATTATGACGATTAGACCAGAGAAGGAAGGTGAACACTCTGATGACGTGGATTTGCAGACAGATGGATTAAAGGTAATTAAATATAATAATATAGAGTTTGCCCACAGTATATTTTTTGATTGTCAGCTCTACGTATTTTAGCAAGTTGCGATTTAAACAAACTAGATGGTGCGTTGCATTGTTTTTTTTTTCAGATATCTAAAACAATTATTTATTTAACAGTTTGTTTTCATTATATTGTTGACTAATGCAATAGTTTATTACTTTATATGAACCCCAGAGTTCTAACTAAATATCTAAAAATGAATCTAACTTTAACCTTTCAGAAAAAAGTTTAATTTGTTTTCTAGATGGATTTCGGTCATCCCCTTAGCAAAATAGAGCAAAATATTACACGCAAGAGTCTGCAAGCTGCGGCAGACGAGTTAGTGAAGAATGAGGATCTGCTTAACAAGTTGGATTCAGGCTGCGGTGACGGAGATTGTGGTATTACACTGAAGAAATTTGCAGAAGGTTAACATAATGAATATAGAGACACCCTACGACCAGTTACTACTTAGCAAAATCCGAAGGAAAAACACCTTTTAATTACGCGAAAAGGATATGGTTTCTGCGCCCTTCCCAATCGAAATTATATTTTTTTTACTTGGATTTGAATCCAATATCTCTCGCACTTAAACCCTAACTTATACAATTAACCACTAAGGCAACACGTCGTTTCTTTAACAGCTGTGAAGTCATATCTGAGAACGGCATCCTTAGAACACGCCTCCAAAATCCTTTGGGACCTCTCAGAAATAGCTGAAACGGATATGGGGGGAACTTCGGGGGGTATTTACAGTTTGGGACTCGCTGCGGCTTCACAGGCCCTTGCTAGGTAATAACATACTCAATAAACATGTACTTTGAATTTTTATGAGTTTTTAACAGAATATCTATTTCAGTGAAGAGACAAACGATAGAAACGCGTGGTTGACAGCATGGAAGAATGCAATGCAAGCTATTTCCAAATATGGAGGAGCAGAGTCGGGGGATAGGACAATGGTAATGTGATTTTTTTATCGCTATAAAAGCTAAACAACTTGTTGACTTGTACTTTGTGTTGTCGTGATAGATTTTTCAAAATAAGCGACGCATAAAAACCGATTCCTGTTATATTGTAAGTTGTAAAATAATGGTTACTCCTGTTTTTTAGTTGGATACACTACATATAGCTGCACAAACGTTCAATCAGACTATTAATTCAGATTTTAAAGAAATGCTTTTCAAGATAATAGAAGCTTCGGAAAATGGCGCCAAGAGTACAGCAAACATGGTTGCGAGGTAAAAAAAATAGATACAGCTACAATGATTTTAGTAGTCAATGACAGTGGATGTATCCTAGCGAAGTGTAAATATAGGACGACAACGCACTAATATTCCTATTTATATAACACATGTTAGGCTTCAACTGAGTCGTTGGTTTTGTTGTGCACTCGAACGTAGATCACGAGGTATCGTCGGGCGAAATATATAGAAATTTTGAGTCCGGTGTTCGAAGTAGACGTTAGTTGAAGTCAGCAACCTGCGCTAAGCTTTTAAACCTTTATTTATTAATACAAAATATGGTAAAAGAGTTTTATGTAAAATTTACCGTCCATAGAAATTCTGCTGCTATGAAATGATAATTAAGCGAATGATTTTATACCAATAGGGCGGGTCGCGCTTCGTATGTAGCGAGCGGGTACGTACGCGACGAAGATGCAGGCGCACGCGCAGCGGCCATTTGGATTAAGGCTGTACTCAACACAATCGCTAATAATGTTTGAAAATACATATTTTAATTCTAGTTGTTATATTTTTTAATTGAATTTATGACACCTTTCAGATTCGTCTTTTCCACTCCCAGTTTAAAAATTGACCATAAATTCAATTTTAGCAATATAAAATAGGGTCTATACTTAGTAGGTACCTTATTTAAGTTAAAAAGCCGTGAAATCTTAAAACTGGTTCTGTTCCTTCAAATAAAACATACAAAAAAATGCCAATAATATATTTATATCACAATTCTAACGGCATTCTTTAAATTCGCGCGTAATTTCAAAAATTATACACTACATTTAATAACTATATCACTTATTTGAGATTACATTCAATAAGTTTTGTACATAGTGGCTGATATACACAAAAATATAATTATTGTACTCCGTTAGGAAACGACTTGACTACATTTAATATAATTGAAATGTTTAAAACAAAGTTTGGACACGCAAAAGTGTGCGTTTAGTAATTGACTTGAGGTCGTTTTTTGGTCAAACAAGTGATACGTTAAAAGTATAAATAACTCACTAAAAGTCCCACTCGGTGGTTTTTTCGATATCCATGTCCGATAATTTTTCTTCCAATAATAAAGCTGATATATCACCTGTTGGGAAAGGTATATATTAAAAAAAGGAAAAGGCTTAAAGTTAATTAATTGTTTTTTTTTTTAATAGAACAAATAATCTTATAAATATTTAAATTATTTAACTAGAATTTAATTTAGTTCCCATTTGTTAAGAATGTTTGGCTGGCAAAAAAGCCCTACTGAACATCTCTAGCTCACAGTCATCTCTTCACTGACACACAATTACATACACGCATCATTGCGTCTTTAGTATTTTGTCACAAGTGATTTGTTATTTTTCATAAAAAAAAGAAGCAATCTGTTCAAGCAATAAATAAGCATTTTATAAAATTAGCTGCAAGTTATGTTAGGTTGATCCAAAGTGGTATATTTTAGTGTGGTAGATTATTATTCCGCAGTTTGTATGGTAAATGTTTTTTCTATTCATTCTTAAACTCAATTTAACAAATTCTAAAATTTGTTCTACCAAGGCTTTTTAAAATTGCATTTTAATATTTAGCACTGAATTTGTTTCATGTGGAAAACTCCACTTACTTTGGTCAGGCTGGATCGGTTTGACTCTACCAATGAGACCAGGCAAGTAATCACCTCGCCTGATCTGCTTGAAGAACGGATGGTTGAGAAGTTGAGTGGCTGACGGCCGCTTGTCTGGGTCTCTGTTAAAACCGGTTTAGATTATTACTTAAATAATAAAAAAAAATCTTTGTTCTCCATACAAAAGCTATATATTACCTATGTAATGCGCTGTCTGTTAGTCTATGGAAAGTGTCCGATAGTTTGCGCCGGGCATAGACTAATCGAACTCGGCACATGCCTTCTGCGCTATCTCCCACACCGCTGTCTGTATTGTACATACCTGGAAAAGTAGTAAGAAATAATAGCAAGTTAGCTGACTGGACATATAGAAATATCAACAAGGTCTGTTGACTAAAACGAGTTAACCCAGCTTTTAGACAAGGGGTTTTTCTACAAATTTAATAATATATTTGGAGTGTGGATTTTGATAAGGAAGTAGAATTATTGGAAACTGTATCACCATCCATAGTTGTAGACTATAATATTGAGAAGACATCTGTACGGACAAACACCCGTACAAATTTATTGTATTTTTATTAAAATATTATTTTGTAGCATAGCTAGCATAATTATAAATCTATGTCAACGTCGTGCTCACTTCAATGTTTATATTAAAAGCAAATTTACTAGGTTAGCTTAGTGAGCGTCTTATTTTCCACTTTCTTGTAAATTATATTAAAACAATATTGATAGGAAATAAATCAGTTACACTACAGCACTCATTGGGTTTGGTTACCTTCATCTCCCTCTTAAACTTATCTTAATCTTAACCTTTATCACATCAAAGCTGTTAACTCTACAGCATAACGTTAGCAAATACATTCACGTATACTTTTCCGAACTGTTTTACGCAACAGTATCTGGTACCCGAAACTCGGGAGTATACGCTAAACTGTTCTACACTACAACATCAATTCGTTTGAATCAATAGCCAAGGCCAGAAATAGTTAACAATAGTTTGGTTTAGCTCCTTTATACTAACTTTTCATTTCTCCGTCATCCAAAGGTTCAGGGAATGATGAGCAGTCCAGCAGCTGTGGTCGATTACCCCTCACCTTCTCAGTGAACATTAGTGTGGTGGGAACTTCTGCAAATGGGACAGCCCCATTGGCCAATTCACAGCAGAGCACACCCAGTGAATAGATATCGGATTGTTCATCATATCCTTTGAGATTCTGAAGCGAAGTATATAATGTGTGTACTATTATACATAATAAAAGTTTAGATAATGTTTATTAGAATAAATAAAATAATTGGAAAGTTTTAAATAAATACAGACAAAAATGACTCAAGCACAAAGGGATTCGCAGAATCCAAACTCCCTAAATCTACATCTAACATTAAACGTCGTAATTTCACTATCAATAATTTCTTAAGCTGTAAAGAATAAGGCATGAAACTTGTAAATGTTAAGTATGAAATTACATTATGGGAGATGTCTGGGTTGAAGAAATTCAACAATGACAAGTAAGACATGGTAGTTCAATTGAGCAGCAGCACAGAACACTATGGATGCCAGTACAAGCCCCACTCGTGTCATAATTTTTTAATTATAAATAGATTTTTAACATGTTAAAAATATTCTAATGTTTAATGAAAAGTTTTTTTCTCTTAAATGGAAGCAAATAATAATTACATTAAAAATTATTGACTGGCCTGCAATATAATGGTAAAACTCATGATCTCTGTCATATGTCTTATGAAGAGGCCACAGAACTCTAATTACCTGTTCCAATAATTCCGGGCTCAACCACATGAGATTGGCATTGTCATGGTCTGGAGGTGGTAAGCTATGCAATTGTTTCTGTCTTCGGCCGCGCACCATCATGCTGGCTGCACTTCGCAGCCCTGATAAGCAGACGTTACCCTGTGTGTCCAACAGTACATGACTTGCACGGACACTCCTGGAAGCACCATATATAGAAGTAAGCTAGTGAAACAAGGTATTATATGGTAGAGAAATTAAGAACGAAAGAAAATACTGAACCCTTATTGTGATTTCATTACTTTGTAGGAATTTTAGTGTTGTGAATCATAAAACTCTAAATTCTAAATACCTTTGTTAAGAGCAATATGACAGTATTTAATTGAGCAAAATTTTCTATACAGTCAATTTTAAACAGAAGTTGTTAACCCTTTTCTAAGTAGAACAAATTCCATGATGTTCATGTGATTTATAAATTATCATATAAATATTTTAGACACTATTTGAACTTTGTCTTGTTTCGTTGTAATGTTTTAAGAAGTCACTTACCTATGTACATAAAACTGTATATGCAAATACTGAAGAGCCAACAAAACATCCCTCAGTATGATGGCACAGGCTAGCTCTGGCAGACCTTCCTGAAAGTATCTATCCAAGATATCTCGACAGGATCCCAGCTCCATTAGAGGAGATACCACATACAACTCCTGGCCGTGCACAAATGATGTTAAGTATGGTAGAATGTTTGGGTGTTGCAACTCCCTTCTTGTTAAGATATCTTGCTGAAATTAAATTAAACTCCAGTATGATACTTTCATAGTTATAGCAGTTAAAAAAATATCTTGCAAATATTACAAATGTGTGAAAGGAGAGACATTGAACAATGAAGTTTTATGTACACAAATATATACCTGTATTAATGTGGCTTTTTCCTTCGATTTGTCCACAAAGTACCTCTTAATAGCAACAGTCTGGTTATCTGGCTTATGCACTGCGGAGTAAACAACAGCGATACCGCCGCAGCATTCCGATATTATTGAAGTCAATTGGTAATCGTTAATGTCTGGGTTAAACATTGCAATGTTAGTCAAACAACAGCGTCTGATCTAATAAAAAAATCACAGTAAATAGTACGAGGCTAGAAAAGCATTGTTGGCAATTAATTTGTTTACAACGAGATTGCAGTAAATTTCCCCCTCCGACGTCTATAATTAAACAAAATAATGAAGAAAACAACAGCTGATTCAAAATAATAGTTCGTCTGAACTCTTAATTGATTACTGGTACTAACTGGCACACAAATGAAGTGACATTGACAGAGCACTGACAATTTGACGTTGACAGATTAAGCCAAAATTATACAGACGCTATATACAGAATTGTATTAGAATAATTTTTGCTTGTTATTTAAATTGTTTTCTGCATATTGTGAATTGCTTCACATAAATTAGGTCTCTACTTTTTGAAGTATTTTCAAAATATTGCTCATTTTTAAAGATTTTTTTTCATAAACCTTTATGTACATGTTAAAAATAATTACATTTCCAAATAGTTACATTTTTTACCCATTATAAATTTAACACTAAAAAACTATTTTCCGAAACTACTGTGTGTGTTACGTGAGGACCTGGCACACTACATTTTCCACTTTTGATGAGCTTATCTGTAAAAATGGCATCACGGTAGCACTTACATATTTTAATTCAAAAAATTTAGAATAAGCATCAAAATTGAGAAATCTATAAAGGATTATAAGCTTTTCTTTATTTATAATGAATCGTAGTAAATTAACACTAGGCATTATACCGACTGAATAAAATGTTGCCTTATAGCCGTACAACGCTATCTTTTTTTTATCTTTCTTCTAGGCAACTTTAAGCTAATTATTAGGGTTTACGTTTTGATAGGATGGTAATTTTTTATGGTAGAAGAAGACAGAGAAGCATGAGGTACTCACACTTGATGGTAAGTGAAATGTTGTCAAGATGTGCTGTCGACCTTTTTTGTCTTTGCATATTAGGAAACTCACAGACATAAACCGAAACGCGATTAAACCTCACCATTTTTCTACCTGTGGCCGGTGGTTTGTGATCCTAACGGAATTTTGATATTTCTACCACCCATTTAATATCTAGATTTCTAGACGGAGCTCAACATGTTTCAGAAAAAAATATAAATTGATTATAAACATTATGGACCCAGTGGGTTTCGAACCCACGACCCGTTCATTAATAGTCAGACACTGCTACCATTAGGTCCACCAAGGAGTATATATTCTTGTGTATACTAAATTACGCTTAGATTTATTTTTTTATATGACAAATAACAAACCAAATGAAACAGATGCGACGAACCATTTGGCCCAATAGAAATAATAATAAACATTGCCAAAGAAAGTCACATCCGAAAATTCGGGAACGCATCGCGGGCAATGCAAAGTTTCCAATCCACTCAATAAAAAGCTGTAATCCCTATATATACAGCGACCGCATCTCTCATACGCTTTATACGATGTACTCACGCCTATATAAAACCGGGGAGAGCGCCAAGTCTAAAATTAAGGCCGCCGAGAGAGACCGACGTGTGCCGAAACCGCCCGCCCGCCTCAGTCCACCGTCAGCTGCCGTCGAAATTTCCCAAAAGCAACCGAACGCGCGCCCGAAAACTCCGCTCGGTTATCGCGAACGAACCCACTTCCAAACGCGTCCGCGATACATTCTGTGTTTTTTTTTAACGTGCCAGTGACAGTGACTAGTGGATTTCCGAACTTCCGTTGAACCGGTAGGTATTATATTGTGGGTTATTAATTATAATCTGTGTGTCGCAAACACGTGCCGGCTGAAGTGTAGAGTTACATTGCTTCCGTAGTTAACATTTCAGTATGGCAATGCAATATAGCTATTTGATAGAATATATAGAAATCAGTGTTGTCTATTGGCGGTAAAGCAAACACAACATTTTTTTAACTAAAAGCTTTACTATATGTAAACCGATGTACAGAGGTACTTGTTCTTAACTTTGCACGTACTCCTAAGCATAAATTGCTACATAATTTCGTCTCTATATCTTTACCATCTACGGGTCTACGTAATTTTAGCAATATCGCTAACGTTTTTGGTTTTAAAACTTTAACAAATAAAAAAAATATTAATATATAAAAATATGGCGTAAATTCTAGACAGACTTTCTATTATATTCTAGAAGATGTGATAATCTTGGTTCCGCATTGCGTCATGTCAGTCTCCGCCTTTGAGTCTAGACCGGAACCGGAAGCTGTTTACCTATCGATTATCAAAACTTCTTCACGAACATTGCAGACTTTGTTACGACATACCATTACTCTTATACTATAATATATAATCGAAACTAGAAACTTGTGGCTTTAAACTTATAACTAACTTCTTACTTTAGTATAAGTGTACCTAATAGTAAAAATCAGTTTTATGGATAGTTATTGCATTATTTGAACCAATTGATTGTAGTATACATGTAGGTAGGTTAACTTTTAAGTTAACGACTAATAGTATATTTTGTTCTTCGAGACCGGCTCATCTTTCTAATGGTTTCGCAGATGCAAGATATTGTCTAAAAGCTTCCTTGTAAACATTAGGTCGACTTAGACGTTGTTTGCAAGTTTTTTAGGTCACACAAGTTCGGCAGAAGTAATTATAGAGTTCTACAAACATTCACATATTAACATACTTTGTTAGACGCCGAAAGTAGGACGTTTAAATCATGATTTTCGAATTAATATCATCTGGTTACATTTCGTAACTGACGTATTTGGGTTACAAATTTATCTTATAAACATTTAACTGTAATAGTTGGACTATTATCGACATATATTTGTGCCTGTACACAAATCCAAAAGTATTATAAAGTTTGTTCATTTGCACGCGTCTCAGAAACTATTGCTTCAAATAGAATTATTATTATATTATTTTTGATTAAGGGCACTAATTGACGAAGGTTTATAAGGCTATAAAACATCACACACAACATGATTAATAGAAGTGAAGAAACAGTAGGAAACGTGAAATACGGAGAAAATAATTTATCTTTAAGGGTTTCCGTTGCAAGCGCTGCGGTTCAAGGTTCAAAACGGTTCAAGATACCCACGATATGGATGACAGAATGATGCCGCTTTAAATGATCTAAAAAAATCTCCAATCTCTGACGAGACGATGTCGTGGGTAACTACTATACTTTTGAGAGATTACTATACTTGTAAAAGATGAGGATTAACTTTATAAAAACAAATTTTGATGACCAAAATAACTATTCTATGCGGACGAAGTCGCTGGCACAGCTAGTATCTATTGACAACTTACAAAAGTAATAAACTAATTATTTGTATTTTTTCACTGACCAGGAGTTCTCCCACTGAGCCATACACAGCTGTCTATGATAAAGTCCAAGTTGATAAGCGCTATAATTTTATAAGATAAGAGCTTTTACAGTTAAAAGAACGGTTTTCAAAAATAAATCATGTAACTATTTCAAATATGCACGTAAAATTTTATATTATCTAAAAACAGAGCTGAGTGCAACGGTCAAATGATTGTGTTAAACTTCGTTCCAATTTTAAAAATACACGTCACAAGCGCCCTTGGCCAAACTTTGAGGTTGAACAACGCTATTTAGATGCGTCGGCGCATTTACTGGGATTTAGTGCTTACAGTTTGGTAGTGAAGACGTTCAAAGTAGTCGTATTTTGTTTAGTAGGGTTCATTGAATCTTATCAATACTTATCTACATCTAATAACCTCTATTAGGTGTAGAAAAAACATTTTTTGCTCATATTTGTAAGTTTATTAATGCAAATGGCACCTTATGTTATAAATATTAAATGAATTAAATAATAAATTTCAAATATTGAAATTTATATCAAATTTTAAAAAATCGTGGCGGCATTCAAACATTGTACATAGATGGCGACAAAGTACCTGAATGGGTAGAACATGTACGCCCTCTCTCGTGGTTTCCCGTTTACGTCAATATTTTTTTCAATTTGTACATGTCTCTATTACCTAATCTATGAAATACACCGCTATGAAACTTAAATAATCCATTCTAAAACAGGAAATTATAGTTCTCATAAATCATTCTAGCATTTTGCGCTGGCAGTCGGAATAAATAATGTGAAAATATGTGCATAAGTCGCATACCGAAATGTCACTGCATCTATTTAGGGCAGACATCATAGAAGCGTTCTATTTCGACTGATATAAACATATATTATTGTCGTTTCAAATTAGTTTCTTCCGTTACATCTGGGCCAGGGATTGTATGCACGTTGTGAGATGAAAGAAGACGTTAACCGGACCTCGGAATATTTACTTTACAACAAAACAAATGCCGTAACTAATGTATTTTTCTAGATTTCAGACGATTTGTGAACATATATGTAGGCTTATCCAGATTCATGTATTCTTAATAGTTTATACTCAAATACAATGTTTAGTAGTAGGTCAGACGCTAATACCTAGTATCAGCACTGTAATTTGGATTTCAATCGTACGTTTAACTATCAATACTGTACTTAAAGAATGCGACTGAATTTTTAAACGATAGTATAATAAAGATAGTATTTATAGAATAAGAATAAAATACAGTTGTAAAAGAAAAATTTAACAAAAATTGTGAAGTAGTGGAGTGAAAGGAAGGAAGAACCCCTAAGATTTTTTTTGAATTTAAAGTATATTGCATTGTGGGTCATAAATGTCATCTACTGTCAACTCCCTTAATGAATTACGTAAATTAATTAATTACTTTTATTCCGATTGTCATTAAAAAGAACGAGATGTTTTATAGATTAAAAATTTGCCATTCAATCTCTTTGTAAGCATATTGATTACAATAAAGCTTATCTAAATACTGTCTATAGTATATAAAGCTTATCTTCAAAAGGCTACAATTAAAGGCTTATCTCAATTCGCCCACGTTCATGAAACAAACTCATAACAGTGTATAAAAATTACATGAACCATAAGTGTTTGATGCTAATTTCGTCGATTGTATCACTGTATCGTCACTGAATATGCTAATAATACTGTAATTCTAAGACTACAGTTTTTAGATTGATTAGTTAATTATCTAGTTTTTAGTTTTGAGAATAGTTCAACTGCGGGAATGGACCCTTCGTACGTGAGTCCGTTTAACCGTTTTATTTAACGCTTTAAGTCTAACATTGATGTATAGTTTTAATGACTTCAGTCTTATGTTAACTGTTAAACTATTACGGTTACTACTATATACAACTTGAACGGTTTAAAACGCGATATATATTAAAAACGGCCCGACGCTTCGGATGCTTTGCAGCAGCCGTGGTCACGGGGATAGTTAAAATAATTTTCAAATAAGTTTAACTGCTATACATCAAGTTTTTAATAATTCGTTTAAATACAATTAAACTAATTACATGACCGCCTCTGCAGCCAAAGGTAAAACGTATTACCTAGCATTGCGTTAAACGCGAGATGGATTCCAAGGAAACAAAAAATTAAAGCCTGTTGAAGAAAGGATCAGTGAAAGGACACAAAAATGTGTTCGCCCCATGCCCCACAATGGGGAAACGGGATTTAACACACATTCTACTTACATAAAGTTTGCTTTATCGAATTGAAAGTTTCTATCCCTATGAAATACACTTATTCCCGATTGAGAGGTCCTGCCCAGTAGCTATTGCATAATAATTACGCGCGACATAACATTTATGATCCAGCAATAAACTCAAAATAACCTGCCAAGAAGTAAATGTTTGCTTCAGCGTAAAACAACAGGTGAAAATGAATTATTGCAGCCATTTCGTGTGTTTGAACTGTTTTACACAAATAAAACTAAAATGCGGTTGTCGTGTGCTCTTCTTGGTTAGGTGGAAACGTGCAAAATGGTTTGTTTTTATTCGTGTTGTTAAGGACATTTTGTAGAACCAAAAATGTGACTTTAAAATGAAAAATTCTACCATTACTTACCTAGTAGATATGATGCTCGACGGTCAGCATTTTAATTCTGTCTCATAATATAATATAGTCAACGACCTCTGCAGTTTTAAAATGGCCGACAGCCAGGCGATGAGAGAGGAATCAATAGTAACCAGTTGACCAGGAGTTTTCTGGCCAAATTCCAATTTATGACATTGACATTTCGGTGTCAAAAACTCGCAATATAACTGATGCACGTTATCGGTTTTCTAAGTTTACTGATGTGATAAAAAATCGATCAGTGTAATGGATAGGTACTAAATGTGTTTCCATGGTCCATAGGGGGAAACAGGATAGATTGTAACTAAATGTGCCAGCGACTTCGTCTACGTAGAATGGTTATTTTAGGCGTCAGGATTATTTTTGCAAAACTAATTCTCATCTTAATAAATTATAGCTTTTACGCCCTGCCTTGTCCTTCAAAGATAGACATGTACCTACTGTTGCGGACATTTTACTGTTGCGTCATTTATCGAGGAAGTCTAAAGCCTTCCTCGATAAATGACGAGCAACTCAAAAATAATTAATTGTTCAATTCGAACCTGTAGTTCGTTAAATTTCAATTAAATTCAATAAACAATAAAATTTAAATAAACAAGTTCTTCAACTTTATATTAGTATAGATTAAATTAAATTTTTATATATTTTTCCTTATGCCAGATTCTCAGAGAAATTTCAGAACCAAACGCACTATATTCAAAGATATTCATGCCTTATTGATTTATAAGCCTTTTTTATTATAATGAAATATGTTTCTTTAATTGGAAAGACCTACTATAAACCTATTTAAGCATTTTTACATGATCGACAGTATTGTCTATAGTTCAAGTAAGCACAGATTAAATAAAGCCGTTTAAATGGTTTAAAACGCGTTTTGTTTATTATGTTTATTGGTTAACTAATTTTTAAGTAACCGTAAAATTAAAGTAATATATGTATATAGTGTTTAAAACGGCTAATGACGCTGTGCTCAAATAATACTTGACTTGTCTTGAACTTTATTTACCAGTTAATACAAAATATATTTTCAAGAAAACCAAAAAATCGTCCTATTTTTTAAATAAAAATACGTATAATTAAAACTCTCGGTCCCTCATGTTGGACGTCGTCTAGAAATGTAGGACATTAAATGTATGGTAGAAATATAGAAATTCTGTCCGCCTCACGAAATGATAAGTAGATGAAAAAGCCGAGAAGTTTATTCGCGTTTTGGTTTCAATCTGTGGATTTCTGAATATCCAAAGTAAATATAAGTCTACAGCGTCGGAATGTTATATGTCCTCCGTACTTACGTATTTATAAGTTGGAAAATAGTCGATTTTCTAACAGAACCGGCGAAAGAAACTTATATTATTGTAGCCAGTAACTAGTACTACAAAGGTAAACATTACCAAGATAATCTAACGAAACATGCACTTAATACCTTAGTTAAAATATCGGCCATCTGCTGTGTGTAACGAATGGTTCTTAATGTGAGCCGTAACCTCCACAGTTCGTTTACCAACAGTAGCCAATTTGTTTGAAAATTTTGCTGTATTATTTTGTTTTTTACCGTAGCAGTTATTTATTGAAGAGACGGTAATAGAGAAGACAGAGAAAAAATATAATGTCTATAGTTTACGCGAGTAGTACGCATTTAAATAAAACACTTTAACGGTCTCCCCGTGACCACGGCTGCTGCAAAGCAATCGAAACGTCGGGCCGAAGTTAAAAATAAGTTTAACTAGTATATCGCGTTTTAAACCGTTAAAGTGTTTTATTTAAATGAGAGAAAATATGTGAATTAAAGTGACTTTTAAATTTTTAAACTAAGCACGATAGGGATTAAGTTTGATTATCGAGGATCAACTCATACTTTCACTACTTTTGTGTCATGATCCTATATAAAAGACCAAAAAAAAAAGTGATCTGTGCACAGCGAAATCTTAAGAGCTGCTGTTATTTTTCATAACAGCCATGACAGATACATAAAAAATGGGATTGACTTCCAGGAAGGTGAAATACCGTAACCATATATTGGAGACTAGCTTTGCCAGTGGCTTCATCCATGCGTGTTCGTTGCTATTAGTCGCAGCGCAATGTTTTATAGCATATAGCATTCCTCGATAAATTTTCTATTTATTTCGAACCAACTAAAAAAATATTTTTTCAATGCGAAGCAGTAGTTACTGTGATTAGCGCATTCAAACAAACAAACAAACATTTTCGCTTTATTAGTATAGAAGATGCGCCAACGTATATTAGTTAATAACAAATGATTTATGGATAAAGATAACTCCTATCGTTTTACCTTCTCAACTAAAACCTCTGAAGAATGTAAGCCATAAATATATACGTAACCCTTACGTAGGGACAGCCAAAAATAGTTCGAAGCACGCGATTCTCTGCCGGAATCCACGTTTATAATTTGCCAAGCGTTTCGTGACTTATAAAAAATTGGGCTTGTTTGCATTTGACATCGACGATCGCTTCCGAATTACTTTGGCAAGTATAGCTATAACCAAACTTCCGTATTTGATGTAACCTAATTTGGAAGAAAGTTTTACCTTACAGTGTCTAATCGAGTTGCATTTCGAATAAAAAACTAGAATTGAGACAGTAAAATTAAGGTTCAAAACAATTTTACGTCAGTTCTATGAAGCTATCGCCGTCATTTTGCAGAGGTTTTTGACTTCGGTTAGTTGAGGTACGATGAACATTTCCAGATGTCATAAATTCATATAAATTAAAAATCTACACGACAAAGAAAATTCATTACACGCACAGAGCACGAACCTACATCCACAGCGTTCCGTGCTGCTGCTCTAGTCAATTGAGCTACCGTCTCACACTGATGTTGGTGAAAAGTCGAGAAACATTGGTCTAGCTTAAAATTAATACATTATTATTGATAAGCATATACATATTATGTGGTTCACATTTCATTTTTATTAAATGCGCTCTATTTAAATAAATGAAAATAATAAAGAAGATTAATTTTTATATTTCATAAAATAAATTATTTCAATCGAATGGGATTATTAATTAAAAATTCGTATTTCTATTTGTTCCAGCGATGCAGATTAAGGCGTGACACACCGGATTGACAGGAATCAATCCCCGCGATGTCACAGCCGCCGCCCGGACGCGGCCGCGCGCGTCTCCCCGGCCCCCCCTCGCCCGCGCACTACCGACCCCCATCACCATGGGCACCCAGTCCTCCACCTCTCATATCGGGTCCTCGACACTCCACAGCCATCGTTTCACCACCACCGATACAGCCGTCTCCGAAACCGTTCCGTCCATTGCACTCTCCCCATTTGCGTCAGCATTCACCGTCACCATCATCTCACTTCTCGATCTCCCCATACCCGATCTCCCCCACGTTGGGGCAAAGCCCCGAGTACTACTACTCGTCGCCGTACGAAACTGTTCGCGAGAATGATTACGCGGGTGGATATTTGGAGCCCCCTCCACCGCCGCGACCGATGATCTATGAAGAGGATGAAGAGAGAGGACCTTCGACCGCGGAAATCATAGCCAACCAGTCCCAGGAAGGATATGTGGATGAGAAACTCGCTGAGTATCAAGCTACAATTCAACTGTTGCAAGGTAAGAAAGTTTTTACGGCAAATTTATTGTTTTTTTATTATATTTGTAATAAAAAGTTAAACTACGTTGTTGGTTTAGTGATTTGTTGCGGGTAGGGAAAGAAAATCTATGAATTTTCTAGTATAAGTTTATGCACCACTCCCGAGCTTTTGGGAGCCAAGCGTTGATTGTGATCTCAAATTTAGTGGTGGAAGTCGTTAAAGCTCGCCTAACTACATCGTAGTGGGTCTAAGCTACTAAAATCCCCCTCTTTTTTGGGACGAGATATGTGCTAGCTGTGACATATGTGACATAGTTGAAAAGGCTACTAGTTTAGTAGTCTTTTTATAAACAGTAGTGTGAGTTAGATTCAGATAACAATTCAAGACTAGAAACGACGAGATAGAAAAACAATGAAAACGCTCACAATTCGTCTGCGTCAGATATCGAAGAAATTCACCTTGAGATCTAGAAATATCTGCTATAAAATTAGTAGCATTGTGATTTTCGGGACCGTCTGTTTGCTTAGATTGCTCGTGATTCGCAAAATTTGTTTACAGTCTACAGAGAGACTTGTTTTTGTGTCCCATAACTATTACTCGTACAAGTATATTTTTTCACCAAAACTCACAACACACAAATATAAATTTAGTTTCATTTAACAACTAAAGACACATAATGTTCAAATATGTCTTTGTTCGTATATTTGACGCGTATGAGCATGGACTTGCCGAAAATTAAATAACCTGAGAAGATGCAATTTGTACCAGATGAGCTAATGTATTTAGGTCTCCTGCTTTGCGTATAACATGTGATCTTCTCGTTTGGTTCTGAGCCAAAACCTATAATTTGGTAGGCGTCCCGATGGACACAATGTCAATCACACTCTAAGAACATAGGATCAAACCCGGAGACCGTCAATCATTTATTAGTAACTATGCAGTGAAAGTGCAAAAATATCTAAGCTTATATTGCGTCAGGCTATAGCCTGACGCAATATAAGTCAAGAGACTATTTTTGTCTACTTAAAACTTAAGATAATGCTACATTTATAGTTTTAACTAGATAAAACTTTAAAGAATTTTATATCAGGACGGCCGAATTGAAAATGTAAGGAGAAAAATTTTCGCGAAAACCTTACCTTGTTCTTAAGGAACCAAAATATTCATACATGCTTTAAAGTGGATTGGAATGTAAATAAATCTAAAAAATAATCAATAAAATACTAGAATAATAACAAACGATCAAAGTTATCAAATCCTATCAGACTTCTTATTTGGATTATGCTATTGACCACTGAAGAATTTTAATTTCCCAACTGCCTTCTCTTTAAAATCACATAGTTAGTGGGATGTAATACAAAAAATCAACATAACAGATGCGTAGTTAATTGTGAGCCATAACACTGCCATATTGTTGGACGGCCGTACTTTCTCGAACCTATGATACAAATGCACGTAACAAAATCGTTTTGAAAGGCGTCTGCAATTCGATAAGTCATAAGCCGAAGCTCTTAATCCTACTACTTTTGCGAAAGTTTGTTAGTTTGGGTGTTTGGGTGTTTGGGTGTTTGGGTGTTTGGGTGTTTTTTTCCCCCCCCCCCCCCCCCCCCCCCCCGGGTTTTTTTAAAACCCCCCCCCCCCCCCCCCCCCCCCCCCCCCCACACAAACCCCCCCCCCCCCTGTTGGTTTTTTTTGGGCGGGCCCCCACCCCCCCCCCCCCCCCCCCCCCCCCCCCCCCCCCCCCCCCCCCCCCCCCCCCCCCCCCCCCCCCCCCCCCCCCCCCCCCCCCCCTATTCCATAAAACCTAAACAAAACCGGAGCACGTCCAAAATAAACAATGCTCTAATGTATCGGTGCAGGTTGTAACACTGAACTGAGATCATCCACCTTGAGCCAGATTGGGATGTGACCTCTATTTCCTGCGTGCTTGCTCAATTCTTTCTCTGAATTTGCCGGTTAGTGCATAATGGTGACGTAACGAGAGACATGTGCATATAATTAACGATCGTTTTGTTTGTTTGGAACTGGGCTGTGAAATTACTTTTGAGCTGATAAAATTCTCACTTAGAGATTGTAACTACTGCTAAATTAATTAACTAAAGTTTGGGCTAATAGTCAAATCAAACTAATTGTATGAATTGAGATTTAAACCATTGACACTGTTGGTCGGTTATATATATTTCGTGGAAGCTGAGCTCTGGGTCGATATAATATTAAAACCAATCAGAATATTCTTTGTAGATTTATACATACTAGCACTATTAGACTTTATACTTTAATTTAGAATATACATTAATTATTAAAAATAAACATGTTGCACTGAGGGTGTCGAGAAGAGAAGTGATTTATTTTTGATATAAAACAATATCTTTCAATTTTAAATATAGATTGACACATTCAACCATCTTTCCTATTCAAATGTGAGAAGTGTTGCTAGCTAATATCAACATATACTCCAATAGACATAGGAAGATTATTAAAAAATAACATCCTTTGATTTTATATTGAGCTAAAATTAAGAAGATAATCTCTATGGACTTACTGAAAATCAGTTTGACGCACGTAATCTAAGATTGTAATAATTCCATTATGACTCAGTAGAAGCATGTCTTTCTCTTCTAAAATTAATTAATCTAATATTTTTATAATAATAAACTTTTATATGTAACGGTGTGACTTTTGGCAGTAAATAATTACATGACTTCTAATCTCTACAGTGTTATTTCTTTAAAGTGATTCCAGATATTTCCTTGTACATCGACCAATTCAACAATTTCTAAATCGTTAGTATATTTTTCTAATGCGTTTGATAAATTAATCCGATTTCAGTTTATCCAAACATTTATTTAATTCACGGCAATTATGAAAATCGCTACCACTTCAAAACAACGTTCTCGACTCATCTCAAAATATATCTGATCCAGCTGATGTGTTGACGTCATACGCCTACCGCCTACGTCAGATTATAGTTCTTTTATAAGTCTGAATCTCGTGAGATTCTCAGCGTCTGGCATCTTGCGTTATCATAATTCCACTTTTTATTTTTTTACGAGTAATTCTAACGTTTCTACATTGTATATTTTAAAGACTGCAAACAAATTTAAGTTTCGGAAACGTATTCAAAAGTTTGTGTTCGGGGAACACAACCGGGGGTATATGAACTAGGTTTTTATTTTAATTTTATTATTATATCAGAAATCAATATTAGAATATTGAAACCTAAAAACATAATATATTACCGTTGGTAACCAAACTAATCGTAAATGCAGTTAAAACGAGAGATTCTAAATTTTTAGGTATTAGTATGTAGGTACTATTTTAGGTTATAAACTTATAATTATACTTTTAGGTGATTCTTCGATCGGAATGTATTTTTGAATGAAAAAGAGCCTAATCGTACAAGGGGCAATTGATAGTGTAATGTAATACCAAAATCTTCTGAGATATTGGAAATATTAAAAAAGGATAATGACCACATGCTTAGGTTAATGAAGTTTTGTGTTGTTCTATATTCTGTAAATTAAAAAATATATATTTTTATCGGTTTTTACTGACCTTGAAAAATGAAGACTGTTATTATTATAACACAGATGCAACTCAAATTCACAGCATAAGAACTCCTTCATCATAAATTCAATCGAAATAGTGACAGTTCAATTAAATCCAGTTTCACGTTTGAGATGTCCGAGCGCTTTCTCTATTCTGATGCCATTGATGATTTTTTTTTTTCTTTTTGTTTTGGTTTTTTTTTTTTTTTTTTAAAGAAAAAAATCTTTTTTTTTTTTTTTTGTGGGGGGGGGGCCCCCCCCCCAAACACCCCCCCCCCCCACCCCCTCGCGTTTTTTTTTCCCTTTTGTTTTTTTTAATCCCCCCCCCCGAACCCAAACCCGAAGGGGTGTGAACTTTAGGGCTTTGGACCTTGTGGATAGTGAATTCAGCATCTTTTCAGGAATATATGCCATAGGTGATGTTAAGCATTTGATTATTACCCATACATTGCTACGTCACGTTTCTTAGTAAATTCGAGTTTGAATAAAATTAGAGCTATCGTGGCAATCTGCTAATGAATTACCTCAATGTGCATCCATAATGATCTCATCCTTAGCAACCCCAATTAGTACCCTGCTTCTCAGGTGTTCTATTGGAACAAATGTTTAGCGCTTTGTAAGAAGAAAGTAATATATCTAGTTATTTATTTATTTAAGAAATTACACTATATACATACTTATAACTGTGAAAAGTGTCATAATATAAAATACTAGCTACGCCCGCGACTTCGTCCGCGTGAGATAGTTTCATCATATTATTTTTTTTTGCAAAAAAATTCAGCTTTACAAAGTTTCCCACGTTCTTGCGAGCTTTATTCAAAGTTCACATTATAGTTTTAAAGCCTTCATCGATAAAGGGCCCAATCAACAAAAAGGGAATTTTCAATTTCAAACAGCAGTTCCCGAGTTTACCGCGTTCAAGCAAACAAATTTTCCATTTTTTAATATACTAAATATATAAATCAGATATTTTTAATAGGGTTAATAAAGCATTATATAGTTAAAAAATTCTGATGCTAGATAGAATATACATAAGATTCTGATTATAGAATTTTCAATAATTTCTTAAGATTGCACGGTAGGTAGAAAAGCACTTTATTGCAAAAAAACTTCACAATATACAAATATATATTTTCATGAACGTAAAAAACGCTACAGGCTTAAGTATATAAGAACTTCTTTTTATCACAGAGAAGCACAAGCACGGGAAGAACAGACAAATCCCACCTCAGCCAAATATACACTAAATAGTACATACGCTATCAACCGATTTTGGACACATTTAGATGTTCGGAATATATTATCTAAAAACTTATTGAAAAAAAAAACAGTCATTTTTAATAATTATGTATCTGTAATGTCAGTATTTTATTAGAATTTAAATTCTTTGATAGTAAAAAGCTTTCGTGTAGTAGAATTTTTGACGTACCGTCCTCAACATCGAATGGCGACGCCATATTTGTTTTCCGATGATTTAGTGGCGATGGGTGCGTGACTTATTTTTGGAGCAGCCTAGTTAGATCGAAAGCTATAGAAGTTATTTCCTGGAAGTTAATCCTAGTAACCTATTTTCACGATTGATTTATTTATGATTAAAGATTGTGCTATGCATGTGAAATTTAAAAGTTTAATACTGTGGTATGGTCAAATTACTTTCTAATATATAGCTTCCCGAAAAGACATTTCCTTCTAAATTTATAGGTACTGTTTGCATTTGAGATTCATTTTACGAAGTATAGTAAGTATATACTACGTGAAATTTTTTGCTTTTTTAATTATAACGTATTGTCTCTTTACAAAACAATTAAAATGAATTCCATAATACACTACTGTAGGTATAATATGTTATGACGGGTAATTTTATTTGGGGTGCCTTTTTTACGTATAAATAATGATATGTATTACAAATTTAAAAGTTAACTCTTTAGATTAGTTTCCTACAAATCCCAGAGCCAATATTCAATTAAATGAAATACCTAAGTTTTACGTAGACATAATTCGCAAACTACGCTACACTTCTGTAAGTTTTATATTAAACTTTTTTAGTAAAACTTATTAGGGTTTAAAACGCTTTATTATAAATATTGGTTATTATATTATCGCTATTAGGTATATATTAGTTCACTTGTTTCTAAAGGGAAGAATATATTTCACTTAAAAGTGTTTTTTTTTTTAATGTGTCACAACTCGCGTAAAATAGAGAAAATAAGTATTTTTTTTGAGGATTTCCTTAGTACCACTGTCCGTGTGTGGGCTGCAAGAAATGCATAGCTGTGGCGTAGGTCAGTTGTGTCACGTTTTATGCTTTTATAATCCATTTATAACCTGGCCAGCCTTGTTGTTTCGTGCTATGGTGATATCATAGATAGAACGATACTTTGCTCATACCGAGATCTCTTACATAGTCTGCTCTGCTCTTGAAATATCAAGTTATCTAATGGTATATAATATTATTTTACTGGTTAATACAATATACATATCTCAAATAGTGAATAAAAAAAATCTTATCACAATTTATGTACACTTTGTATTTTTCATTTGATACTTCAAATCTTAAAGAAAATTCAGATAATTATGCTGTAATTTGTGGATTAAACTCGCATTTATATGCAGAAGCTACGCTACGTGTAATGCGTGTTTCATAAATCAAAAATAAAAATTACTTCCAATTAACTTTTTCGTTGTTTAAAGATAGTTATTCTATGACTTATATTTTAAACAATTCGTTACGAAGCGCCTCTTTGGCACAATGCAATACTAGGCAATGCAAGTAAGCATTGCCTCGTATTGCATTAAGCGAAGAGATCCTGGATTCAATTCCTGGGAAAGCAAAATATTTAAATGTTATGGGTAAATAAAATCGAACGGGTTAACAAACTACGAATAAATATGTCCGCCACGAAGACAATGTAGAGAAAATGGGATTTAACTTTGAGAATTTATAACTTTGTTTTGTATATTGCAATATTGGACATAACCCGACAATTTCTTTATAATTCTACATCCTTAATTTCAGAACTTGGTAGTAAGAGTAAATTTTCTGTTTTACTAGTTGTGCTCGCGACTTTGTTCGCGTGTAATAATTGCTTTAGGCATCAAATTATGATTTTTTTACTAACAACCTCCATTTTAAATTATAGCCGTTATCCACGACGACGTCCGCGTCTCTTCGCGTCGTTCTTGCGAGTTAACCTTTGAATGATCTAAGACAATGTCCACGACAGTATATGTCTATCTTTTAAATTTGCAAGAACTACTGCATGCGACCCACGTCCTTGGTAACAGCTTATTTATTAACTTGAGGAGGTTAGCAAAAACAAATTTTGATACCCAAAATAACTGTTTTACGCGAACGAAGTCGCTACCGCAGCTAGCCATAGATATAATTGAACACTCAAATCTGACGATACAGAATCAATCCGAGGTATGGCGTTAGCCGCGCAACTTCCTACGTCTGCGATGCCATACACTTCTATATTTAATAACATTATATTTAGCTCTCACTCATCTTTATTTAAAACCCGATCGTGTGCACCCATCTCGACAGCTCGACACGAATTTATGTCGTAATTAACATTTATTAGAGACGAAAACGGCTTGAATGTGATCCGGCGACCGAAAACATTAGCACATACTGGCCGAATTTTCAAATACTTATTTTAAGCTTAACTTTAGTGCTTTTTGATGTAGCGTAGGTTAGATACGCGAAATTAGTTTAAACATTTCGTCTATTAATTATATTCTTAATAGTCTCATCCCTTTCATTTTATTTTAAGCTAACTGACCTGGCAAGGTACTTTTGCCAAAATTTTAATACTACAAAAACAGCTCTTGTGAGATAATCGTAAAAGATAGACATAAATACTGTCGCAAATCGGCCCAACTCAAAGATGGATTTGCCCGTTTTTACCGCATTTCCCCCTTTTTTGTTCTTATTAGTCAGTGTAATGTTTTAGCCTGAACCTTCAAAAGAACCTCAACAAACATAAAAATATCTTTTCAATTTGAACCAGTAGTTCTTGAGCGTAGCGTGTTCAAACAACACTCAAACTCTTCAGGTATATAATATTAGTATTAAAGAAATTGTTTCTCTAATCCTTTTGTTAGTCTGATGACATTCTTGGTCTTTTTTTTTACTTATGCGCTGTCAATTAAATTGGTTATTTTACAGTGTTTTCTCTCATACGACACACGCTTTACATCGAGCTTCTTCTCTGGCACGGTTAAGGTTGTGGCATAATCGTCCGAAATTTTTCCCTAGGATTCGAAACCAATTACAAGTTTTATTAGTAGGAAAGATAGAACATAATTATTCTAACTTTTAAGACAGCAAATACCAAAGGCTACCTATCTAGAATGTTCACTTTGATTTAATTTAATTTTGCTGTAATAACAATAAAAATCTTTGCTCCGAGCTTAAAACTTGCACAGATGAATGTAAATGAACAATTACAGCGCCCACGATCTCCAGAATAAGAAAAGGAGATAGGCAACCGGTCTGACGGGCTCAGCTAGAAATATGACCCGCCATTGTGACTAGCTTAGGTCACACGCAAGAGTCCTACATTGCTGTAAGTTGGCTTCAAATTTAGAAATGTGTTGTAATATTTAATTTTATATTTTCGGTTAATGCAATTAACGAAACTTAATGAAATCATTGGTAATAAGGAAAACAAATTATATTTGAAGACAATGATAGTAAAGTGTATGTAATCAACAACGGGTCGTGGGTTTTATTCCTACCACGCCTCCGTTGTTGCTGGCAAGCTGGATGTTAAATGGGGGTAGAATGGCTAGGATCGCATAACCGCCGTCCATATATGCATGTCTCTCATGTTAAAGTGTTTTATTTAAAAGCTTACTTCCTTTTCGCCACTAAAGTTAAAAATTGGTTCACCATTCATATTTGTGGCCAAGACCACCAAGAAGTCATTTGATTATCTTCATACACTTTGTTATTATTTTGCTCTTTCTAGGTTCTGGCAGATGTTCATCCTTGACCCGTTTTAAACAGAAGCGATTTATAACTTCTTATTATAAAACAATCATAATGTTTTTACACAAGCCACGAGAATATCACTGAAGACTATAATTAATTAGTAAACGCGTTTTTGTTATATTGTACTTTAAAGAAGTTTTATAATTACGAACCTTTGACATGGCCGGAGTTGAAGTCAAAATACATTCAACCTTAACATCGTATGTGTCAAAATTATAGTTTACATTGATTGTAGTTTAAGTTACACAAACATTAAGTAAATATGTACTTCTATAAAAATCACTCTTTTAATCAATCAAGTGTTTCCTTAGATTGTATGTAATTTTCTCAGTACTTAATAGATTACTGTATAATTTAAGAAAAAATATTTTACTTAAAGAAGTTTTCAAGTAAATTTTGATCTGTAATTGAAATATTAAGATTAAAAATTAAAAATAATAACTTTTACTTCATAAGTGCATTATAATTTAAGCAGATAACATTTTTAATAGATAATTTCAAGTATCGTGGATATTGTCCTACGAAATTTGCATGCGAATCGTACGGTGGATCGCAAATAATTCAAAATGGCGTCCAAACAATGCGGAGTCTTCAGTGTCAAACCGGACAGACCGCATGCAACATATTTATACATACATATATGTACACTTTGATTTACAATGTTTTGGCTACAACACTGTCTGCAGACTGTATGTTAAAAAATTAAAGATAATTTATTCTGTAGATCTAGATCTAAAAGTATTATGAAACTTTTGGCATTGGTCTAATCAAAGTGAACGTAGATTTGATCCCCTTATTTTCAGTAGCTCAGTGTTTCAACGGGTTATCTAGAATTGTGTTATATACGAGAGGTCCTAAATTGGAATCACAGCGAAATGAAAAATTGTTTTGTACAGCCAGGTCACAGAAATCTAGTTTTATTCTTTTTCCTTTGGGAATGACTTTCCTATAGCAATCTTTAAAGACCGATATGATTTTTATAACATTGAAAGCTAAGACATAATACTAGATATATTATAACCAACAGACTTCTAATTATAGACCACCCACGCGTCACCTTCAAAGAAAACTATAAGCACATCCACAAATTCCTACGCAAACCTCTTCAATTTCCTTAGTGTACCGTCTTTAACGATATTACCATATCTATCCAGTACAAAACGTTCGCATCTTTAATTTTATGCTTTATCATTGTAGAGTAGAGTTCATTCTTAAATGTCAAATTCAAATCGCATTGACCATGATTTTGCCAAGTGCGCGAAACGTGGGTAGTCAGCATAAATTGCGGTAAAGAGTTTATTGAACTCGTTCAATACGTGTTTAGACCTTAAACTGTATGACAATGGTCAAATAAATAGTAAAATATTTAACTTATCAATACTTCGAATTTTGCACCAAAATATATATAAGTAGAGTATATTTAGAAGAGCGAGATAGTATTTTGGCTAATATTCATAACGATAACATTACTCTATGCATAGTCTAAGACAATTTTGATTGGATCATAACTAAATTTTTATTTATATTTACTTAATACGTAGTAACACATAAAAGGAGTAAATGAAAACATTATGTACCATTTCTTTATATGAAAAAACATCTCGTATTCGTGTGTTTTGACGACGTACTGATATAATCGCGTAAATTGGCAATAATTACAATTAACGACCCATTGTGCCATGTCTGACGTCATTGCTGTGTCGGGATTTTAGGGCAGTCAAGGGCAGAGTGCTTTGCCCCTCGTAAATGTTTTATGTACTTATTCCTTCACGATGTCTAGTATATTTTTAAAGGCACGAATGATAGAAGTATTTTTGTGGTCTTACAATATGATTGCTTGTATTATAGATTTTAGGCCAACGGGATTGATTTTTTTATTATTTCGTAAAACGAGTTGCTTAATGTTACCTTTATTGCTGAATTTCAACAACAGATTCCTTAGAAATGTTTTAAATAAATATCGTACAGAATAAGTTTCAAACTTTGTTCAGAAAATAAAAATGGCTTCCCATACTTACAACAGAGTATCGAAAGTTTTTAAGATTTCACTTTTCTGTGTTTGTATCCCGGGAAAACAAAAAAATTATTTGCAGCCCCATGTCCACAAGGGAAATGGGATTTTACTAAATAGATTTAATAAATCAATAACGCGGATAGCAAAATCGATAAACATGAATTGATAACATAATTTCAGGCGTTATAATATATAACAAGAAAATTTTACTTTATTTAAATTTAGAACATGGGCTAGGGAGTGCTGGAGGGGCAGCTGCCTTTCTTGAAATCCAAGTATATAGTATTGTCTATACGTTACTCGAGTAATACAGTTTAACTAAACGCTTTTAACGGTTTAAAACGCAAATTATGTAAGTTAACTTATTTACAATTTGTTTTAACTCGCATAACAGCATTTAAACGTCAAGTTCTAGTTAATTCGCGTTTAATCTTTAAAAGTTTTTATTTAAACTACCATATGTCATTGGCGTTTCATTGCTCGGGTCCGATTTGGTTGGCGCCACGGGCGAAAGCTAGTAACTCATAGACTAAGCTCTACTGACTGCCAAAGCGCCTTAAGCTTAAATCCAACCTACTTTTGGTTGTATTCATTATTGTTCTGTCAATCCAACTTGCTTGTGAAAGTTGGAATAATACCACACTTGATACTGAGGTCTATACAATATAGGCATTTCATGTTAGTACTAGATGTGCCCAATCCACGTACATTAGTTATGTACAATACAACGTGTTTCACTAGAATTAGGACTGTTTGAATTTCGCAATATAAAAATATGTTTTTAAATAAAGGTTTGAAAAGTTTTACTATAGCACTATTTAATTAATCAATTTCAGAACTAAAAATTAGGCTCGGACAGGACTCGAACCCACTGCCTGTACTATGCTACTGGGCTATCGTTTAAGCATGTAGTAGTAGACTGATTGTTATCTAGAAGTTACCAATTGTTATAAATTATATCATCCATCAATATTGTTTATATTAAAATTGGTCTAGCCGTGTAAGAACAATTAACCCTTTACAGTAATATGAACGTATATACTTCTTTTTTTAACAGAGGACAAAAAAATCAGGGATCACTTATAAGGCTATTGTCATTGCAAAATACGATGCGTTGGCGACCCTTAAAAATCCACGGAGGGAAAACATAACGCCGATTTACATTATGGAAAATGTTTCCTTCTAAGGACGTCTGTTAAATCTGTATTTTTATTTTAATCAGTAAGATTGGAGGAACCCTTTCATATTCATTTTAATGACAAAGAAGGACAGTCAAGCATACGGTTCACTTCATTGTCGGCCCATTTGGGCTTTGGATATTCGGAATTTTGTTGGAACAGTATAATCATATAAGGCTATAATTTAATCTACCTATATCGTCTTTGTTTTCAGATATAAATTCCTGTGCAAAAGTGCATTCACTGATTATTATATTATCAGTTAGTGTTATCGTACTTCACGTACAACGCAGATTCGTTATGATAATAATTAGGTGTTACACTATTATATAAGGCAGAAATTCCTATCACAGATAATGCGACGATAACGGGATTATATCGACACCGTTTGTTCTAATTTTAAAGCACGGTTTGCGAAAACAAAATCGTGGCGAGTGACAGACAATTTGATGGCCCTCGCAATTGTAAAATTTAATAAAATTTATCGGGTAAAAAGCAACGATAGTGTAGCTATATAGTATAAAAACATCGCTTTTTCTGTCTCTATGTACGCTTAAATCTTTAAAACTAAACAACGGATTTTGATGCAGTGTTGTGGCGATGCGAATAGATAAAGGTTTTTATTTTAAATACAACGTTCAGAGTTATTCTGTACTGTATTTAGTATCAGCATTGCACCCGAGCGAAGCCGAAGCGGGTCGCTAGTAATATACGTGCGTTTCAATTTTATTTTTTAATTTTACTCCTGAGCTATACTATTTGTGTAATGTATCTGTTTGTTTTCTTTTTGCTAAATCAATATACCTACATGCGACACAAAGTTATAACTTGACTAATGTTTGTTTTTTTCACTTAATTATACATACTTGGCGGGAATATCAGAAATCTATAACACAATAAAATAAATATCTAAGGAACAAAAATAATACTTTATATAAATAATAAAGGAACTACGACTTAACTAAAGGACGTATTAAATTAGCTATACAAGAGTAGTACACATTTAAATAAAACACTAACGGTTTAAAACGCAATATATTTTAGTTAAACTTGTGCCGTGACCATGGCTGGTGCAAAGCATACGAAACGTCGGGCCGTGGTGAAAAATAATATTCAAACAAGTTTAACTAAAATATATCGCGTTTTAACCTGGTAAAGTGTTTTATTTAAATAGATGTACATAGTTTTGTAAATGTTTTAAGATCCCACTGGAAAAAATATCGACTGAATTGAAATTTTTGTTTAATTAAAGTTATGGGAATATGAAAAGTATCGTTGGTGCGGGAAGAAGACCGCGGGACTAAGAAAGCCGATTTATCGATGATAGGTCTACGATTCTATCGTGCATATTAATTTGTACAGACAAATAGCATCCAAATAGTCACGACTTGACCCTAGCGACTGATATTGTAATTTTAACCTGTTGTATAATATAACGATTTTAGGAATTAGTTTTGATTTTTTTCAATTCTACTATTATTATTATTTTTACTATCTTTACGGCATTATTAAACAGATAACCAGGACTCGAACTCGGATACTTTGACTTAGCCGCTGCACTTGCATGATTCTCGAAAGGGAAATTACAAGTGCAACGCTACGCCGAATCGTACTCGTCCGAAATGAGGTTTTTCAGTGACCGGGTAAGCTCGGAAAGCTCGTGGAAATTCGTCTGGGCGCCGTCTAGTCGCAATTCGCGCATGCACTTAACACCAACTTAGTCCGCGGCCGGTTAGTATCGAGCGAACCTCAGCGTGAGGAGGTCATGTCGCAATGTCGGACGAACGCGAGAGCCCGTCGCAAAGCGGCCTCCGAAACCGCGTCTCGTTCTTCGAGAGAGTGTGGAGCGGGAGGAGCAGCAATGACTCCGTGGACGCGACCACGGACGTCGACGACATAGAGCGTCGCCTAGAACAGCGCAAACGGCGCCCGGAATCGCCGAAAATCGAGGTGAAGTTGAAACACACGCGCGAGACATTGTCCCCGACGAGGTGCTTTGAAACGCCGTTCCCCAATCTTAAGTTACGGCACGTCGAGACCGAGCATGAAGGTGACTTGGCGGCCGGCGCCAATTTTAAGTTTGAAATCGTCAAGCGGACCGTTGTGCAGAGGAGCGAAGACCGGCCGGATTCGCCGGAGTGGTCTGAGTACAAGCAGCACGCTCTGAACACGGCTCCCAAGAAGGAGTACGTGAGGAGCAGGTCGGAATATGACTCGCATATCGCTGAGATACGAGGTAACTTGATCCTTGAAGTCTATACAACACTGTACATGTTATTTCTATGTACTACGAGTTACCAAACTGTTATCGAAACTATTGTTTTGGCTACAAAACTAGCTAAGTAACACAGTCAAGTGACACTACACTACCAAAATAATCCTGTTATTATTATTTATCTCTTTATGTGTCTTATTAACTATTTGAAAATTTAATTTTAGTAGATTCAAAAATATAACTAAATGTGCAAACGTAGCCTCTACATTTAAAATTAAGTATTCCTTATTCATTAAAAATATTGTCTTAGAACTTTATAATTTCTTATTCTGTCGATATTTAAATGTTACAATAAATTAGTCCGTATCTTTACGGGAATATCAATTAGCGAAGTGGCACTACCTGTTTTATATGTCAACATGGCGTAAGATACTAGGAAAATCTACTTTTAGAATGTTTTACATTGCTAAATAGCAAATGCATAAAATTTTTAAGATATAAACCACAACATAATATTAATGAAAAATTTAATATACAACAGAACTGTTACGCATAATAAAAGTCACAGATCATAGACTAACAGAGTTTTTTTATTGTACTAAAATATAAATACAATTAAGTTTGTTTTGTATTAACTTTTCATAAACAAGAACCGATTTAAAAGTAGCCTTTCAACGGACGCTTAAGCTGATTTATGTACGTCAAAATTTGCACATCTCCAGGGTCAAAGATAACGTATCTTATCACGTGTTATGATGTTGATGTAAATATAAATACCACCCGAAATGCTATGTAATGCAAGTCTCTGTCGCTCTCATTACTAACATCAACTGTATGTTTGTTTTTACATGAAAGTATTTTAAAAATAAATCAATAAAAAAATCCAACTTGAAGACAATGACAGTCCTGACAGTGACAGTCGGGTATAGCAACGTTTTTGATGCTCCGGGAATTGAAGTCCCGATCGCAATTAACGTCTTGATCGTAACAAACGTCAAAGCAGGTCTTCTTATAATTCCATTTCAAATACTTATAAAATTCAGCCTAATAACTTACGCGTGCTACTTTGTTCAGAAGGAAACTTGTTTTTTTATCATATTATGCAAATTTACTAAACCGGATAGGTTTGTTATCCGTTTAACGTAAGCTTGTGCCGTAACACCAAAACAATTTGCAATGATGTCATCTCCACTGTGTGTATAATGATTCTACAATTAACGCTTTTTATGAACACCGTACATGGATATTACTTATATACATACTCTTATTATTTCACAGTATTTTATCTTAATAATCCAAAATTTACACACGAATTTATTAAAGCCAGAGCCATTATCCTTGTTCGAAACCACTCTTGCGCATTTTAATCTTGGTCTTTTGGTAAATACACATTCAACCACATGTACAAATTTAAATTCATGATACTATTACTGTTAATATCTGCTAAGCATTGTTTTAAATACGAAAGATCTTGGATTCGTAACACGGTAAACATAGGAATTTGTTGAAATTACACATCACATCTAATCTAAAAACTGGACAATACTTCCTGCTAATTTATTTTAGAGAGTTAAATGCATATCCTAGTTGTACTTGCAAGATCTTGATAAGAACGTACTTGCAAGATCTATGTTACATTACTCTGTGTCTATGTGATGTCATACGCACTTAGTGACTTGCTCGTGATTATTGAGTAGCCATTCTGTACTTTGCCTTTTCAAGACATAAATAGGGAGTGATTAGTTAGATCACTTTTCCTTTTAGAGTGGACAGTGATTTATTGATTAGCAATACTGGTTTTAAGCTAATCCTTATTACTGCTTTTTTTGATAAGTTTAAATTTTGTCTCATGTTATTTCAGATGATCATTATATAAATAAAAAAAAACGATTTAAGATAAAAAATATATACGACAAGGGCAGGATATTATCTACAGTTTAAAAATTATATACTTTTTTCTTGGCCACAGACAGACTAAATTTTTTTTGTGTAAAAAATAATATTTCGATACGTAGAATCATAAACTCAATAAGTTGCCATAAAATTGTTCTTATTGCAATGCCGAAAAATAATCATTGTATTTTGGTGTTAATTTTTGGCCTTGCATTCTCACTTAAAATCATTAATTGTATTATAGTCATGAGATAAACAATTTAATCCTTAATATATCCTTGTAATTTGGGATTTTCCACTTCAACCCATATTATTGGTGTTATGTTTGTTTTATATTATAAGTTATTTATGTTTGTAAGTTTTGAATATTTATTTGTTAATAAGAGAATCTTGAAATCCAACGTGAGTAGTACACGTTTAAATAAAACATTTTTAACGGTTTACAACAAGAAATGTATCACTTATTTTTATTTCATGTTATCTACGGTCCGACTAGTTGGATGCGATATTTCCCGTTCCAAACTGTTAAAAGCGTTCATTTAAACATTAAACGTACCTCTTGTCGCGTTCGGTCGTCACGGTTTGAAACAGTTAACTTGTACAGTGACCCCTTTCTTAGATTGCAATACAGGCTCACAAAAATTAAAGATTTTGAACTCTCTTACGCCTACATACGATTACAACGAATGAATCCTTGGTGCGTGTACAATTTATAATGTCGGAATATCAACCATTTGTTCTTGTCAAGTGACCTATTCTGTTTATCTTGGTAAATTGTTCTTCGAGAATAACCCTAATTAGTATACATCAATAATGCCAACTTGATAATAAATATAATAAATGAAAATGTAGCCCAATGGGACATCAGGCACACACATCTAGGTCCATCGTATTTTTTCATTCACAATATAAATAGGTGGGTAGTGTAAGCCTTTCGGACGAAAATATTTTTTAATGTGATGTCTCGCTTAGATAAATGAATAGCAAGATTAAAGTAAAAATCTGATAATGTAGTTGCAACAATTTATCAACAGGATTTAGTACACTAGGCTTCTGTAACTTTTTTGTTTATATTACAATTATTGACACATCGATTAATTTAAAATTCTGTTCAGTTACACGTGCTTTTTAGATCGTTGAACCATTTTTTTATGTTTTAAGGCCGTTAAAAATTAAGTGTAATTATTTTGACCTCAGTGATTCGATTATTCAAGAAATTAAAACGAATGCGAACTAAAATGATTGAGACAGGTGATGTCATCGAGTTATCTCGTTCGCCTATCAAGCGGGTCAAGAGCATGACTCGATATTTTAATGAAAAAATATAAACAACTCTCTTTAACATACGTTCATTTCATAATGTGATGATTGTACGTTTAACAGTCTTTAATACATAAAGCGAAAGAAAAGAAGAGTTTGTTTGTTTGAACGCGCTAATCTCGGGAACTACTGGATGGAATTGAATAATAAATAAATTTATAAAGATGACGAGGAGGTTTGAAAAAACAAATTTTGATGCCTAAATTAAAGTAACGCGGATGACGTGGCTGACACAGCTAATTTTTTATATTGGACCATTTCGTTTGAATTTTTGGTTTGGCCTATGGCGAAGCCGAGTATTCGGTTTTAGATTATCATATTTTTATTAACCTTGGCGATAAACGCTTAATATATATGAAACCTGTTTTCACAGCGGCAACCGTTCGTATATTAAAGATGGCGCTATCGCTCATTTCAATATTGTCTAGCTCACTTAATTGCTAAGTTGGTATTAATTAAATAAGCATTTTCACATAAAATTTGATAAAGTATCTTTGATATACTGATTTCGCAAATATTCGTCGGGTTTTAATTTTAAAAATCATTTGTGTCGAAAACAACGGCTTCTGCCTCGGTTTTGTTCTCTGGTTATTTTTTTACCGAATTGGAAACTCTACTCGAACTCAACCTCCAAGTGACCTACTGCACGAAATAAATACACGATCCACGTTGTTAATTTGTGTATCAAGTGTCAACATTGCGGCTTCCAAAAGTCAATAACAATTTATTCACCTTATAGAACCTCAAACCAAGCAAATAACTAAACACTCTAATTTTAAATGTACTACCAGTTCTTAAACATTGGATGTAAAATGAAAGAGAGAAACTCGTACTAGTTGCTTGGAAAAGATAGGTATATATAGCTATTTTGATACAAAACCCTCGTTTCGACCTTTTTATGTTTTTTTTTATAATTGTATGTTGCCCCGGGGCCTTCAATGCTATTCGGATGTTTTGAGTGTTTGTGGCTAGAAAGTGCCCTGAGGGGGGCATCAGCCTCGGCTAAGACCACCGCAATGTGCGTGGGACGTCGAGGGGCTGGACGTATAAAAGAAATATTAATTTTATTTTGTGCTATGTCCCTTTAAAGTGACTACAAAAATGTTTTTAGTCAGAATCTAGACATCTGTATTCTTCAACCATAAAAATCACGACCAGACCATCAGAGTTACATTGTGTCCTTAAAACGTGACAAAACAATTTATATTGTAGCATTGATTCAATTTGCCTAGAAGCGCGTCATCGTTGTGAATAACTCTTTTTTCCTTTAAGTATTGGTACGTGCCTCAGTACACGTTCAGAAAAATATTTACTGTAGAGATGATTTTTATTATTATATATAGCTTTCAAAGGTTAAAATAAAGTTTATATGTATACTTAATAACATATACTTATGTGTTTCTAGTATATGTTTCATGACTACCTGTTTAGATAAAATATTTTCGTATTGGCTGTGACTTAAGCTATGGTATTAAATTGATGTAGAATTTTAAAACAAAGTTAAATAAATACTTATTCTTCGTTAATTATATATTTTTTAAACCATTGTTATTTAAATTGACTTCCTCAAATAAAATCTATAAACTAACTGTAAGCAAAATATATTATGCCAGAAAGAAAGAAACATAATTACAATAATATTATAAAGAGAGAAAGATTATATACAACTATAAAAAGCGAAGGCTGTAGGCGTTACCAGACAAAGAGTTCACCATAACACTTGGAGTGCAAGTAGCCTTGACCTTGGAGCACGCTCGGCTGGACGGAACAAGTTATTCAAATTAGCCAAAATATTTAGTACATTTATG